ACTCCAAGAGATGTGTTGTCGAGACTGAAGAACCCTTCAGCCTCGACTCCTATATATACTACTGAATAGGAAGCTTCTCGAGCTACTTCCGCTAACTAGGACGCTTCTCCAACAACTTCTACTAATTAGGAAACTTCTCGAGCAACTTCCTAGAATCTATCAGAATATTCTAGAACCTTCTAAGAATATTCTAGAACCTTCTAAGAGAATCTTTAGGGAATATTCTAAGAATCTTCTAGAACCTTCTAAAGAAATCTTTAGAGAATCTTTAGAGAATATTCTAGAAGAATATTCGAAGAATCTTCCAATGTATGTCCATGACAATATGTCTTACTTATTTATGTATATTCTTGGAGTTCTTATCCTTAATATATAATCTTTATTATTTTCTTTCATCTAATAATTTTATTACAATATAACAATAGGATTTACACTACCAACATTTTAAAAATTACTTTAAATACTTGAGTCTAACTTAGTCATCATTTACTATTTTAGAGTCATCATATACTAATATCAAGAGGTTTTGAATTAGATATAGAAAAAAATATATATCTAATATGAATTTATGCATCTATTTTTTAAAAATTATCAGAATATAGTGTTTAAGATTTAAATTTTAGACTTAATTATTTTTTATCTATCAATAATATTTAATTTTAAAAAAAATTGTGTCGATATATGTCATTGATATATATATTCTAATATTTATCTATATGATTAAATAGAAGTATTTTATTTCGTAAAATTTCTTCTTAAATATGTTTGTAGTTGATTGGTATGTTAGAAGCTAGGTTAACAAGTTAACAACGTGTTGGTAGCTTGCAAAACAAGCTACTTATATGGCGTGTACATAGAAAACTTATCTTGCAAGTTAAAATATGTGTCTTGCAAAGTCAACACATTTTAAAGGTCCTATTAGACATTGCTATGTAGCTCCTAGTTAAGAGTATATATAAAAGCAAGAGTACAGCCTTCTTCACTCTTATCAATGCCTTTCTAGTCTTTAATAATATTTCAAGACTTTCTAGTCTTCTTGTCTTTGATAATAGCCATTCTAGTTCAATATCAAATCATCTTTGAATAAATTTCTAGTTCTTTTGAGTGATATAAGAGTGTAATAAGGATTTCTTTCTTCAAGATTCATGTCCTTGATAATATGTATATACATTTAAATTATTATTTTTTTCAATCTTTTCACAAATTTTCAAAAAAGACTATTAGTCATGTAATATTTATATATTTTTTTATTACAAAGATCATATTAAGGTATTAATTTAATTTAAAATTATTTAATATTAATTTAAATGATATAAAAATATATTTTTAAAAAAATATATTTTAAATACTTGAAAAAAATACATAAATTTAAAATTAGATTTTAAAATCTTAAAAATAAATTTTTATTTTTTTATTATCTAATAAGAAATAAATAATCTAATTATCTTTATTAATTAGAAAATTTTATAATATTCTTTATAATAAAATTTTAAAAATAATATAGCAACTAAAATCAATAATATATATATATATATATATATATATATATATATATATATGAAATTAGTTTATAAAACTAAAAAATATGATTGAATCAAATTGTATAAAATCATATAACTTAAATAACTACATCCATTTATATTGAAGATAAAATAAATAAATAAATAAACAAAAACAAAAAACTTATCTATGTTTTAATTTGTAGGGATTTAAAATTTTATTACAAAAGTATGGAACAATATATCAAAACATTGAACAAAGAAGTTTAAAGTTTATATTATTTATAAGCACAATTACAAAGTATTGAATATCATAAATCTAAATATAAAAATATATATATTTAATGATATCAGTGATTTTTTTAATTTTAACAAGAATAGCTTTGGTGTGAGTAATTATGTATTATGTTCTTTTTTTCAATAGAAGAAAGTGAATGGAAATCAAATGCTTAGTTTTTATAATTTAAAGAGAATATAATATTATTATTGTAATGCTTATTTTTATTTAAATATATTTATTTGATTTTTTTTTATAGATCATATTATTAAAAATTACCTTTATAATGATTTGTGTGTATACACATATGTATATATATATATATATATATATATATATATTGAGAATAATTTTACTACTAAGTATATATGTATGTATGAATGTATGTATACATTTAAAATAAAATATATATATATATATATATATATATATAAACTATTATTATATGTATTATAATATTATCTAAAAAAACATAAAACACTATGATAGATATATAATAGTTTTTTTGGTATCATGAAGATTTTTTATGGATTTCAAAAAATGTTGATATATTGTCCAAAACGAAATTCAATATGCAGTGTAGCAACATATTGCAACAAATGTACAACAGCTGTTTTATTTAAAAGCTTAAAACAACATAAGTTTGGGCCATAAATGTCTACACATTTTTCATATATATATATATATATATATATACACACACACACACGTTTATAAAAGACTGAGTTGCTTATTCAACAAAACTGAGGTTGTGTAATCTAGACAACTTCACCATGATGCTTGTATTGATTTACTAACCATGTTCTCATTTGTAAATTTGGTACTCATTAAATTCTTGTTGTATTTAACTCAGATACAAATAAACTACACTTCTTAAGATGTACACAGTCCTGTTATTGCAAAAGGTATTCAATCCTAACAAAACTTGTTGAAGCCATCTGGTTTGGCACTTTGTAGAAATCTTGACACAAAAAAAAATATTGCAACACCTCTGTTTATTTTATTTTATTTTATTTTTAATGTCAGATAGCTCTTTTTTCTTTATAATACAATAAATAAGCAAAGTTTTTCACTAAGAAAACAAAGAGAGTAGCAAGATTCTTTTCAATTCTTTCCTTTAAAGAATTACAAATCTATTAAAATACACTATGTAGAGGTCTTCCTTGCAATGTTGAATTCCTAAATCCTCCACTCCACTCTCTATACAGACTGTAGAAGAGGAGAATGAATCGGCTGAAAATTCCTTATGTAATGTGTGTGGCATAATACTTTTTTTAATATATTGGGCCTCCAATAAAGTTCCTTTTTAATAGTTAAAAGTGTTATTTAAATTGAGGATTAAAAAGTTGCCAATTTATGGGCCATGTAACATGGATGTATCATGATGAAACTCGAACAGTTTGTTTGTATGTGTGTATGTATGTATACGCATGTAATTATTTTTATTTTCTATTAAATTGATTAAAAATGTGATGTTTAGAAATTTTCTATGTACAAGAATCTGCATTATTTAAAAATTTTAAGTTTCTATTCTCTTATAATTTCCACTAATGCCTGGGATTTTATGGCACACTTTTCAAATAAACATCAACCACACATCAAAGTTGCATGTACATTTTTATGCATACAAGTAGATTGTAGAATAGGTTGAGGGCAATCTCCAGATATTATGATTTTTTAAAAATATATGTTTCATGAGACTTGTTTCTTTTTAAGGAATCAGTAAGGAACTTCAATCACTTGGAAGAAAGGAGGATATCATAGCAGCAATGTTCAGATGGGAATCAATACTTTAAATCACCAATTTGATTCCTTTCTCTGTGATATCACTGTGGATAAATTGAGTTCAACCTTGAATAACATGCAAGGCTTCATGAATTTAAGGATCTGACTTCTCAGTTCACACACTCTGATAGGCAGCAATTTGGAATCATTTAATTAAATAAATGAAATTTATCATTTGCATAAAATGATAAAAATAGTCAGGATGAGGAAAAACTGGGTAATAAGCAACACATGCTAGATCCTCGGAATCTAGCATGTGTTGCTCGGAATTATATTCATGTTATTCTGTACACTAGAATGCAATTTCATACATTTTCCTCCAGGGCTTGGCTGAGCGAGAATATAAAACAAGGTTGGAAACAAGATTGGAAACCATGTACACAATTCCACTAAAGAATGATCCACAAGGACTTAAAGAGTTGATATATGGGACGGGGTTGTGGTAAGTGTTTTAACTGGAGTTGATTCTAACATATCTTTATTTATATTACAAAGATGTAACAATCTTCTATTTTAATCTTCACCAAAACTTCCAATATGCAAGCCTGAGGATACATTTTCTTATTTATTTGTGCACTGTGACAGAGAAATTTTCTTCATTTGTTTATTATCTCTAGTGAATGAATAATTTGAAAATTCAGAACATTCAACATCGAATCTACTGCCTTAGAAGCACTTTATGGTAATGCAATCTGTTGAAGCATTAAAATTGACTTAAAGTATTCCCTGGACATCAACACAAAGGTTAGACACTGGAAATGAAGACAATTAAAAAAATACCGAAGGCATCACTCCACTCAGCAATCTCATCTGATTGCAAAACATCAGGGCAGCAGGACAGAGATATCCGGCAACAACGTCATGTAAGCTCTCTCACCTGGAATTAGCGACGTTTCCAGTCATGTCAGCAGCCGCGGAGACAGGAGGAAAACACACAGGCGTGAAGAAGAAAGCACAATAAATAACACGAAAACGATGCGGCGTCAGTGTCCGCAGCACTTGAGATGGACGGTAGTGCAGCTTCAGGGGGATTTTTCTCGTGCAGGGAGTACACCGCATTCTGAGCGGCAATTTTCCTGTGGGTTGTGGGGGTGCCGGGCTTCTATTGTTTGCATTACAGCAAGTCCTACAGCGGTGCTCTCACAAGTTGGTGATTTGTCCCACAACCGATAGCAGGAAATCACCGAACAAAGGAGGAAGAACTTTTCATGGGGAAGCTGCAATCCTAAAACCATTGACCTCACTAACCATCCCGAGGGTCAAACTTGGACCATGTTCCTATTTATACCCCGATCTACAACCCGATCGACTTATATCCGACACTTTGCCGACCTCGGGTAGGTATCGGACGGGAGCGGTCGTTTGTCCGCGGGGGACCGGGCCGAACGACCCGTTCCTTCCCCACTGCCCGCGCATTGCGTCGCGTGGTGCTTTTTGCAGCGACTCCATCTCGTTGCGTTTGCAGCTGGTTAGGATTCTCGACCACTCCGCTCTGCCACTGCTCGCGTCGCATTGTGCTCTTTTTTGGTCCAAACTTGGTCTTAGGCAGCCTTTCGTAGGCTGAAACATGCGTAGCTCTTTGCGAAGTCCGTCAGCTTATCTTCAATTGGCTTTCTCTCGGTCTGGAGGCATCAGACTGTGTCTGATGTAATGTAGTGTGTGTGTGAGACAGAGCGAGAGAGAGATAGAGAGTGAGCGAGAGAGGAGACGAAGCTGTAGAGGCGGTGCCAATAGTGATTTGGATGCTAGTTGCTGCAGTTTCTGATTATTGTTTTCCTACAGAGAGTCGAAGTAGGAAGTTTAGTTTTGGGAGGATGCGGAACTGAGGATATATGTGTTGGTCGATAGTGATTGGTGACTCGCGGTCTGTGCATCCCTCGACTCCATGCAGAATTCCTGCCGCTTTTCGTGCACTGTTTCTTTGTCGTAGTTTGGTGACTCCTGCGGCTGGTGGCTATGATATGGAGTGATGCTTCATTTTGTTAATTTAATTTTTTCTTAATTTTTTTGTCTTGCGACTTCATTGGCTGCTAGCTGTGAGAGCTCTGACCGCTAAGAGAGTCGTGATTGGTGGTGATAAGTTGGTTTCTGGAGCTCTTGCAATCTTGGACTATTAGCTATTAGTATTTTGGTCCTTTGGCCAATTGTACCTTCGGGACCCAGCAATTAAGTTTTTTCTTGAGCGAATTACTCTCGAGTTGGCATCTGTGGAGAATAGAATCCAAACAGCCGAGGTTTTCTTATACATCTGAGGTGGTCGCAATTATTTATGCGATTATCTCACAAATGCTCGCTGGTCCCTGATTCCGGTGTGCAGCCTCGTTTGACGAAGCATGCGGATTTACTTCAGCTCTTGTTCTTGATCTTTACAGGAACATTATTATCCAATTTAGCAACTGTCACCTGCTGGTGCCTTCGCTTGATCAAACCACTAGTTTTTTAAATATAAGGCTTGATATTGTCCCGACCAAGGTGCCTTTGATTGGTCAATTCCGACACAACAAGTCGGGCAATCTTTTGTTCATAATTTTGCAGGTGTAGATCATTGCGAGCTTGATCGTTGTCTCCGTCAGCACTGCAGAGCTAACTATTAACTATCTTTAAGGTGTCGAAGCTCATTATTTGGCAGTACTCATTTTGCATCAAAATGTAGATTTTCTTTTTCTGGATATTGGTTCATAAATGTTTCCGACTCAATTGAGGAAACGGGAGCTCTAGTTTTCATCATTTGGAATTTATGTGTCCTTTCCACCTTCGCATTCGGTGCTGGTAGCACTGCCTGTCACTGAAAGACTCGGATTCCTGCTCCTTTTCCAGGAGCGATTGCGTTACTGAATTTGCCCTGTATTTACTGGGGACTACCCCTGGCGGAATGAGCGATGGTTTTTGCATCATTTGGGGCGTTTAACAAAAAAATTGCTGCGACGGTCACTTTAATGCGTTATTCTGAAGTCGTTTGCACTTGCATGGGACCAATAATTGCAGTCTGAATACATTACGTTTAAGCAAAGCATGTGGCCTTCTTTTCATTTTTTGAGAGAGTGAACAATTTAATTAGCTATGGCAACCATGGAGAGAAGCAGCAGTGACGCGGGCTACATGGTAAGTTCTTCTTTCATTTGATTTCTTTGGAGCTTCATGGAGAATCAGCGTTATGAGTAGTGCAATCTCGCAGCTCCGTGAAGAAGAGGCTGACGGTTTAGAAGATTTTTTAATTGTTGACGATCTAAATCAAATAGCGAGCAATTAGTTCATTGAGCGAGAGATATATCCAATTGGTACTCTTTCCTGGGCAGACGATTATCTGCCCTGTTTGATAATGATCTTTACGACCACGTTCCTAGAAATGTCTTGGCATGTTGTTAACTGTCGTACTCTTTTGATTCAACATAGTCAGAACTGAGTATTTTATCAGAGTACGTCCACAGACGTTTTGTGCGTTGGCAATGTGGACGTCCCTGAAAGTCTTACACATCCTACCTAAGCAGCTTATTGAAACCCATGTAGGACGTTTACAAAGCAAACTACTCATGACCTATTCTGCGATCAATCTCGAATTGTAGAAACGGATCAGATATTTATATTAGATAGACGACTTACTGCCAAAACCTGTCTATCATAATCCATTATCCGTGATTTTAGACATGTCAGGTTGCATGGTATAGGAGGTGTGCCTGACTGATGTTCCACCACTTCTCTTTGCAGGGTTCATACGATACTAGCTACACTTCTGGGTAAGTTGTCGCAGGTGGACGTTTTTACTTCCTCCCCAGATCCTGTAACCTGTGAACGTGGTCACACATACAATGTCACTGACCTTTAGACGGTACTTCGTCTGATTAGTCCTTGGATTCTTAAACCGCCTTCCTCCTTTCACCTAAATGTTTTGTTGGTAAGTTGTCAACGTTGTCCATTTTTAATTTTTTTTAAATTTAAAATTTTAATCCTATCGTTGCTGATCTTGTAATATCTCCGCTTTACAGGGACGATACTTTTGCTGATGTTCACAACTTGGACCATTGCATTAAATATCTCAACCAGTCTTTAGTTACATTTGGCTTTCCATCGGGACTCAATCTTTACTCTAGTGATCCCGTAAGTGATCTTAATCATTTACAAACTTCATGATTCTTATCGGCTTTTACTGTCAGGAGTTGTCGACTCACATTGCTTTCTGTAGAAAACGTAGTTTCTAATGCATGTTATTTGTCTTCATAATCTTACTTGTGAAATCTCCCTGATATTACTTGCAAATGTTTTTACATCTCCACAGGCTTCAATCGTGCGAACATGCAATTGCATATATTCCATGATTCAGCAGCGGCAACGGGACATAGAGTATCGTGAAGCAGCCAATGACACAAGGCAAAGGTGCGAATATGAGTTCCTCGTGCCCGTGCTTCAATAAAATCGAATCATGGAATCTCTCGAATGTGGTGCTCTCATCATGTAGTGCACAGAATGTTCGACATATTTAGTCGTAAACTCTCAGATGTTGGTTCAAGTGACTGCTTTCTCATAGTCCATGTTGAAATTTGTGGCGATTCATGCAGGCTAATGTCAGATATGGCAAGGCTTGAAGCTAAAGTGGAAAGGCTGACTGACCAACTGGTCAGTAAGGAACGTGAATTGCAAGCAATTACAAGCAAGGTATTCCTAAATATTTAGGCCTAGGAAATGTAACCACCTTTATCATATATACAAGATGAAAATCTTCTGACCCTCTGTACTGAGCTTTTCGCACTTGCATTTTCTCGGTTACTTTCCTTTTAGCGATTAGATGCGTCCTTCGACTGTCAAGTTGGTAACATGCTCTTCTTTACACATCTGCTGAGCTCCAGGTGCTTAGTTTTAGCAGTTCTTAGGAGTTCAAGCAGGCAGCTTGTAAATTTCACGTTTAGATGATATTGCAAGGATGTGACAAACTACAAGTCGCACTTTTCTTGCCCAAAGCAACATTACTCGTGTATTAATTTTATAAGTTGAGAATATTTTACAGGCAACTTGAATAACAGTTTTGGCTGAGCTGGTTTATTTTTCATTCGCTCACATATTGTGAAGAAAGATACTTTTATTTTCAACTAACAAATGGAATTCGGCAGTAACGCTAATAGAGTTTGCAGTCAGGTCTAACTTTCCAAGTTCTGATGAAGTTCTGAACTTGTGATGTCACCAGGAGCAGAAAGCATCAGCTACTAGCAGAGCGCAGATCGAGAGGTTGCAGCATGAGAAAGACGAGTTTCAAAGAATGGTGATTTCTACACAAGTGAGTAGACAAACTTTTGACTACATTGATCTGAAGCTAAGACACGTTTTGTTGTGATTCGTGAAACGTTTCTCGAAGCAACAGCGTAACGTAATGTTCGGGTTGAATTCTGTCAGCAAGTGAAGATTCAGCAGATGCACGAGTTGAAGAAGAAAGAGAAGGAATATATCAAGCTGCAGGTACAGTAAAATTCCTTTTTTCGATAACCATTCTCTTACGGAGCATTCTTTGATGACAAATCCTCTTCTAGAATGTTTCGTCCACCCTTAAAATGAATTGAGTACATACCGTCTCGTACAGGAACGATTGAACCAAGTCTTGATGGAGAAGAAAAAAGAGTCCAAAGCCGGTATAGAGATTATGAATCTGCTTCAGGTATCTACGTTTGTGAATCTTTAGCCATTGTAACGTTTCTTACATATCAGATACATGCTCACCCACAAAACTCAAGTATTGCCTGCAAAATGCTTATCACTAACCTAGAGAACTTGGATGGAAACGAATTTGTGTGGATGTTGTTAGTCTAAAGCTATTTTCTTCATTGCTCTGATGGATTGATCACTTTATAGTCAAAGATGAATTTGTCTCGATAACTTTTAGTCCTCTCTTCTCTTTGAGCAGAAAGAGGGAAGGCAACGGGGCACTTGGAACAACAAGAAAGCGGATGCTGATTTCTATAAAATGATTGTAAGAAGCTTGTTTAACACCCTACAAAGTTTCAAGTTTCAATGCATACTGTATTTTCCTTCATTTACCATTATGATCAAGTCAGGTTTGAGCCTCCCAGACATCATGGATTCTGCACCTGAGTGGGTTATGCTTCTTCAAATTCGAGTCGGTAGTATATGGAAGTCTTTTTCTAGTATGTTACGTGGATGGCCAGTGTTTTTAAGGAGACAAAATGCTCTTTCGACTCTGATCGATGTAATGTTTGTTATGCAGGTAGATGCATATGAAGCTAAGAAGCAGGAACTTGTTGCTGAAAATTCTGACTTGAGAGCTTTACTTCGATCTATGCAAGTGCGTCGCAACTCTTTAACCTTGGCCTTCATCGGCACTATGATTGCATGTTTCGTTTCTGACCAAGAAATACGTATACTAGACACACAAGAGGCGTCAAAACTAGAAATTTGGTAATTTTGATGTTTGAAACCGATTGCATCTCTTTATTATGCAGGGTGACATGCGCGACTTTCTTAATTCCCCTAGTGGTCCAATGAGACCAGCTACTGGAACAAGTTTCCATGAACTAGAACCATCGCCCACACCTTTGACTGGCCAAACGGTAATTTTCATGTGTACTTTGCCTTCAAGCTCATGTAAGTTTCAGTTGCTGAATTTCCTGCTCTTGAGACTGGTAAAATAATCAGTTGTAGACATGTCCTGTGTCTGGCTGTACAGGCAAAAGTTTAGATGCGAAGCTTTCAATCATTCACTTCACCAAACTGAATTGATGCACTTGGTGCAGGATGTATTTGACCTACCGTTTCACATGGCTAGAGATCAAATTGAACAAAGTTTACGTGCTAAAATGTCTATTATCAAGGTGAGAATTGTCACTCTTACAACCCCCAGCAGCTATATTTTGGACTGTTGTATTTTACCGCCGAATACTTCTTTAGAAAGAAATAAACAAGTAAAACGAGTGTTGTATAACCTCAAAGACTTTTCGATGATAATGCTCTGACGGAGGCTTCGTAAATCGGTTGAGTTCTTTCTTTTCTAATGTGCAAACACTGCGATTCAATTTTTCTTCTGATGCGTAGAATTTGTGCAGAACATTTGCGGTACTCGTCTATCAAGTTTCTTAATACCTACTGTTTATTTATGAGTTTTTGTACGGTGTTCCAGGCTAGTCTGATGAACAAGCACATGTCCGAGCAGGATAACAGCAGGTATTAAAATTTCTTGCTTGTGCCTGAAAGGCGGCAAATGACACTGTGATGAACCTAGGATTCTTAAACAATCCTTCACCCTCTTTTCTCGTGATCGATTGTGTCGATAGTCATGTAAGGTTCTGGGTTTTTGGCTTCCAACACATCTTCCTAAAGCGCTAGTCTAAACTCTGCTACTATTCATAGCTGAAACAGTGGAGATGGTTGGGAGATATTACGATGGTTATTCACTAGAAAAAACCGGTGTTAAAAATTTTGACCGATCAAAATATGTTTTTCAGTTAACTTGAATTTTTTAGACAGCAGTCTTGGACTGCAGTATCACTTAATAAGCCTGGTAATCTAATTATTTTTAGTGACAGAAGCAAAAAGTTTCAAAGAATTAAAAATTTTAGCAACCAAATTTATTTAGAGTATTCTTTTTGTGTAAAATGGCTCTGTACTCATGAGATGATCATGCTCATTTGTAGTAGTAGATTTTAAATGATGAGTGCTGGGTAAGTCCAGTTTGAATGTGTTTGGTATGGAAATTGGAAATTAATTACTTTTGCATCCTATGATTGGTGGTAACAATTAAAACCATTTTCTCTTCAGATTTCATGATAAATGCAGCACTACTCTTACTTCTGATTTAAGTATTTTTTCCATACAATGTTCAAATGTTTAGATATGCCTTTGCAGAACAGTGGGGAGTATGGGAACGTCAGGATAACCAAAAAGGACACATCCAGCATTGGAGATGAGTATCTTCTTCATAGGAAGGGTCTTGGACCACTTCAATTTCATGGGGTACCTCTTGTGCCCACAGGGTACCATTAACTTTTTTTTTGATTTGACATGTAATTACTTCAACTTTTTTGAAGACTTGTTTTCTCTATTAAACAGTTTTCTTTTTTCTTTTTTCTCCCATGGGTAACTTGATGTTGTGTAGTGACTCTTAGACCTTTTTTTGAAGGAAAAGCTTTTGAGTCATATTATTTTACATTTGTATTGACTACCCTCTCAGAGGGGTATGTAAATTTAGAGTTCTACTTGAGACACAGTGAGAGTGCACACTGTAATTTAAGTGGGTTGGGTTGAGTCCAGTACACTGTTGAGTTTTTGAAGGTTTAGATTCTGATCAGATGCAGTTAAAGCTCTGGTCAATTCTGATCAAGTATGTACTATATCCCATATATGTATATTTATATATTCACATATATGAACATGAATATGTGAAGGAAACTTACAGCAACCTTGTTTTGACTATGATGCTACACAGAATGTATGAGATGAAGTGTGGGTGACAGAAATTGTATGTCATCCATAACATTAGCATGACATTGCTGTGTCACAATGGCAAAGCTCATGATGTGCCCATATGACAACTCAAATGAAATGCTGTGTAGGTAAATGTGTCATTCAAATTTGTATCAATGATGCTGTGAAACAACTTTGTTTTTTGGATCAATAGTAGGCAAAGTGAATACTGGCATAATAATTTCCAGACTAAACACTTGGAAGTTTTTAGACACTTCATTTTTCCCAAGGCAGTGACTCAGATCTAAATGGGTGTTACATCCCTGCTATGTAAGTTTGTCTCTTTGAAAATTGTGAAAATTATGAAAATTACTTGGTATAAGTTCAATATCCTCTTGCACTAAAATACTCACAAGAATGTTGTAACAAATCCACGTGTTTTAACAAAATGGGTCCATGGTTTTTTCTAAATTAAATACTATTATCTGGTCACCAAACTCTTAGTTATCAGGCTTGAAAAGTTTACATTACGTATATATAGTCTTTCTTGAATTCTAGCACTCAAGTGGTTTGAGATAGGTTTCTGTTTCCTGGTGCTAACTATTTTGGTTTGCTTGAAACAGGATTTTTTATTTTCATGTGTCCAGCTTCTCTCCTTGTAGGGTAGACCTTATCAGATTGTTACAAGAATTAGGTTGTCAGATGTGGAATGAAACATGCTTGTTTCTGCAAAGTTAACAGAGCTCTGCAATGATATTGCTTTCTAAGAAAAATAAAAGTTATTGATTTTTTTAATTATTAAAATGGTAATTAAGTTTATTCAGTAATGCAGGAATCCTCTTTCTCATGCACCAAATCATAATCAACAATCATCGTTCTTAGAGTATAGAGTGGTGATTTTACGTGTCTTTTATTTACATCTACTCAATCGAAGAAAATTAAACGACCTACAGGGACATCAACTGACGGCTCTAGTAGTCTAAAACTCTAACAACGAGATGACAACAAAGCCACAATGTCATGTTAACCAAGTACCGCGAACTAGACAGAACGAACATCGTATCCACACAAGAAAACCCAGCTAAACCTAAATGTCCTCAAACGCACAAAATTTAGACCCTACCAAGGCAGCATTAAGCACTTCAAAACCGGCACTTAACAAAGGTTACCAACATCATAAACCAAAGTCTCGAGATGAAGATTTTCACCTATGCAGCCAGGTACTCGAGCACATTAGCAAGATGCACACTCCAGCACCAGCTCTTGTTTAAAATTTGCCAGCCCCCACAGAAAGAGCAATCGTTGCAATGGGAGATTGCAGCTCGCCCGCGCTATATCTGGACAATGCATCATTTTCTGAGAGCCTCCGAATCTCCTCATAGAGGGACTGTGACAATCACCGCAACAACGATTGGGGCAAGTAGATAATAATGCAGAGAGACAGCACAACGGCGCAAATTCTCACGTCCCCGGAAGCTCTCGAAATGTCTTCAACAACGAAGCAAACCCCTGCGAATCTAGAGGTTCCATCCGGGAATATTTCACGTTCATTCTTCAGTCTCTGAATATATATAGACGTTCATCTATTTTCCTAATTAAATATCGTTCTGTCTACAAATAGATTGCAGTGCACTGATTGGGCAAAGCAGAATTTCCACGTCAGCATGGCGGGCACTGCGCTTGTTTAGGGGGACGCCACGTCAGCCTGGCGAAATCGTCTACAAACGAATGACTGTAGCTATGGACCTTTCATTTAGGTCTGCCAAAGTTAATGGTCTCGGCTTTAATACCAAAATTTTAGTTATTAGTTTGTTTTTTATTTTATTTTATTGAACCATAGCTTTTCAAATAAATGTCTGATTGCTGTGATGAATTTTCACCAATAGTGTGTTTTAAACACATAATCAAAATCAGTTGTGTTTGTAACAATATTAACCATGAAATTTCATGAACTGCATAAAATTAAACTAAAGGTGAAATAAACTACAGTAGCATTTCGTGTTGAATACATTGGTATTTTTTTTTTTAAGTTCTCATTTTTATTCTTTAAACCGCTTTAAATCTACTTGTATAAAATTTAAAATGTCTTATATATGTTTACAATAAATTAATAAATGAAGTTTTGTATTTGAAATTGTTTTATTATAGCATGTATAAAAAATGCTTATTAGTATAAAAAATTGTAAAAACTTTGTGTTGTAGTGTTCTATGTTTAGTTTAAACTATATAAATGTATATATATATATATATATATCAAAGCAACAAGAATTCTTCACTGGTAAGCTAGTGTGATTTTGCTATGGAATTCAAATACACAAATGCAAATAGAATAGTGAAAATTTGATCTTGTATTCCAGCATATTTTAATTTAAATATTAAAAGTGTACTTATCTTGTTAATCTTATTCTTTAAGTTGTGCTACATGGAACGGGGTTTGCATGAACATGTCATTCTTAAAATTTAAACAATATGCAAAATTTCCATTTTACTTTTTCATGATTTGAATTCTGATATTACATATATGTGTAATTCATTAATGAAAAATATGGTTTTGATCAAACAAATTATTACTTCACCCCAGAAATTAAAATAAATAAATAAATAAATAAAATCAAAATCATGGTTTTTACCATGACCTTCTCAATTATTTAACAGTGCTATGTTCAACAAGTTTTAATTCAAATACATGACATGCAAACCATATGATATTCAAAGTCAATATTATAATTAAAATTGGTTCTTTGTTTATTTAATACCTCATGGCAAAATCAACTAAATGCCCTCTACACCAAGCACACAACAATTGCTGGAGTCACAACCCACATGCATCTTGGAAGTAATCTCAAGCTCAACATGTACATAGATGGCGATATTTTACCATAACCAAGACATATGAATGTAATTGTAATTTAATCCAAACAATTGCAAACACCATTTCCATTGCATCAAAAAGAAAAATGAAACATTGCTGAAATAAACGCAATCACCATGTTTTCATGCAAACAACCAAGTATCATGATTATTATAATGATTAGTATTATGTATGTAGTATAACATTTTTTGGAAAACATCAAAAACTCAAAAACCGTTTGGAAAGGTTCCAAGAGATAAAGCAAAAGTCGAGGAGATGTTAACGTTGTGGCAAGCAAAAGGACCAGAGACCTTCAAAGAAAATGTAGGCTGATGACTCGCCCCCAATACGAGTTCCCGGGCAACCCTAAATTTGGGCACCAGAAACCCGCCAGTTCCACCGTCTTGAGATGAAGATCGGACGGCGCATATTTCGAGGGTTTGAAGCAAGGATTTCCCGCCAACTTCAGGGTTCCTTCGGAGGGACTGAAAAATCAAAATCCACCCTCGGATGCTCCTGCCTAGTCGATTCCACGGACGAGATCGAGCAAGAGTCGATCCGCAAGATTGCATTTGATTGGCTCCTCTAGTAGGAGTACAGCATATAAAGCCCCTGCACATTTTGTATCGGTATTGTTGTGACTCTACGCGAACGTTCTGCTTGTTTTCAATTGTGCGTTGTTGCAGCCTCTTGCCGCTCTCTTATTTCCTTCTGTTGTAGAGTTTTCGTTTATTTCTCATTAACTATGTCTGGAAGAGGGAAGAGCTCCGGAAAGAAGACCGTCTCTCGGTCTAGCAAGGCTGGTCTTCAGTTTCCTGTCGGGAGGATAGCCCGCTTTTTAAAGGCTGGCAAATACGCCACTAGGGTTGGCGCTGGTGCTCCTGTCTATCTTGCCGCCGTTCTTGAATACTTGGCCGCTGAGGTACTTGTCGCTTGATTTCTCCACTCTTTTGCCATCCCTCGATGGCTCTGTAATTTGATTTGGCTTCGGTTGTGGTTTCGGGTGGTTGAATATACATTTCAATCCGTCGCTGTTTCCTTAATCTGTCTAGGTGGATAGTCTGTTCGTTTTTAACTGTCCTCTTCGTGGCCAGGTGCTTGAACTTGCCGGAAACGCCTCAAGAGACAATAAAAAAACCAGAATTGTGCCCCGACACATTCAGCTAGCGGTACGGAACGATGAGGAGCTTAGTCGGTTGCTTGGACAAGTTACTATTGCTAATGGAGGCGTGCTCCCCAATATCCATACAGTCTTGTTGCCCAAGAAAACTGGTGTGACATCTGGAAAGCCCGGGAAGGCCGGTTCACCCGAGTAGGGTTAAATATTTGATTCCGCGGTGACCGGGATTTTTCTATGGTGTTTCATAACACCACCAATTATTTGCATACATATCAACCTCCTTGCGGAATATTTGTTCTTGTCTGTAGCATGTGGTTCCATCTCTTCCTGTCCAAACACCGGGAGTGTTGGTGGCATCTTGTCACGCAAAAACTTCTAATTAGCGAAGTAACATGGAATGATCTAATGAGTCGTGATCTCCATGAAGCCGAAGTCGTTGTAAAATGACTCACTGACTTAGATCGTCGATTACGAGAGCGAGAACATGACCTATTATGCTTGTTCATTCTTGTTTGAGTGCACAGATCTCTGTAACGACGCCTGGGAGAGTTCGCCGCAGAATTGGAGATCTGAATCGAATTCCACGTTTTGGGACCCCAGGCGAAGGACCTCTACACTTGGCCTGCCTCGTGACAGAGGAGTTACCATGAGATATGTCTTTCCTCTATCAAACAGCGGGGTGGTATGGTCACTACAGCTTTGGCGTGCATGCCACCTCCTGAGGGGATCCTGTTACCGTACAGAATACATCAATTAGGCCTTGAAAGTATACTTCATTTTCAGGTCACATACGCCACGTGTGGTGTCTGTTTCAGCGGGCATCGTTTGGTACTGCATTTTCCATGGTGATAAATTTTCGATATGTTCTCTCTGTGGATTCACGTTCCGATCTAAGAGTAGAGTTCATCATTGTCCAATTACGCTGTGGGCTGAAGGCGGAGAACCCTCTTTATTTAGTTGGTTCGATGCCGGAGTGGATCGAAGTGGTAGCTAGTTCTGTAGCGGTCAGGAGGCAAGTAGATATGTGACCGTCTTAGCTGACCAACATCGTAAGAAGTTGTTGTATGTCGAGTACGAGATGCGAGTGCTCTTACAAAATGTTAGTGCTACGATTTTCAATCACATGTTGAAAGAATTTGATGGTACTATATCTCTCCTTACAGAATTTCTTGAGGTATGTTTAAAAGTGACATGAGATCGCATGTTGAATCGATTAAGCTCCATCACAATTGAGTGTCCAACCAGGTGCAAAACTCTGAAATACACAGTACAACTCATTGCCGCGTTGTACAGCTGATAATAGTTGGTTTGTTCAACTGATGAGGTCTTTTTGTCATGTAAACAGAAGAATACTTCCTCTCTTCAGCCTACCTTTCTAAAGATAAAATTGAGCGGAAGGAGAAGATGTGTAACATAGTTAATGTTGTTGATGACTCGTCACAAACGCGCTCATCAGTTATGTTTGTATTTTGATTATGTTTACAGTTGTGATTCTGTCACACTCACAATGATCAGAGACATCTCCTCAAACAATTCATCAAATATTAGGACTTCATTAGAAGCAAACAGAAACTGACTGGTTAAAAGGAATGAAGAGTACCTCTAACTTCGTGTCTCTTCTATCATGCAAATCAATTTTGAAATAATAAACTGAAGTTACGCTTTTCTTCATTGCTAGCTTTGCGTATGAGGTAAAATCTGCTGAGTACGTTATCTCGTAGAGAATGCATTGTTGCAGCATTAGAAATTTCAGTGCATAATGTGAGGTTCAATGTTGAAGAACAATTCTTATATGAATGTAATCCGAAGTTCAACCAAATGGATGCATAAATTGTTGTTGGAGAACACTATAGGTGCAATAGTTGCAAGTAATAAATCTATGTGGTGCAAGATTTCAAGTTGTTTCCGATTTAACTTTGATTGTAATTAGATATGCTTCCTTAAATAGTGAAAGTGATGTAGTTGTCCCAAATTTGTGTGATCCGTAATATAAGCAAAAAATATCAAACGAAACAAAACAAAAATCAATCAAGTTTCTACTTCAGTTTTTTTGGAACGCTACGGATTGCCAATATTTAGATAACTCATTGAATGGAAACAATCAAATCTGTCCATATCAAACATTTTACAGTTTCAGATTTATATCTATTAATTTGCATGATGTTTTGTTTTTTATTTTATTTTAAAAAACAGTTACAAATGGTTGTAGTAACCATTATAAATTTGTTTTTGACAAAAAGACATGGCTACTAAAATATATAAACACATCGTGGATGCAAAAAATATAGGTTTTGATTAAATAATTTGAAGTTTGGATTGACATAGTCATGATTTTGCAACAAATCTTAAGTAATTTGGTAGGTATAATACCATTGAGGTTGTTATAATACTAAGGTCAGTTAAACAAAATAAATGTGCAACCCTATGAGAATTAAACAAGAATAACTATTTATCAGTGTTACCATTCAGGAGACTAAAGTTATATGTTTTATAATGTAGTATAGTGGTTTGTACAGTAACAACAAGTTAGTATATTTGTTGCAAATAAGTATATTATTGTGTTTTTGACATATTACAAGGGATCATAACAATTATCAAACATTATCAAACCTACACCAACAATTTATGTGCTAAATTAGTACCTAGTCAACACTTCAATTCTATTAATTATAATGTACATCTTTGACTCTTCAACATCACAAGCTAGCTAGCTCAAGACTATATATATGACTTTATTTGTGTCTAAGATCATATGCTAAAGTAATGTGATTTTGTAACCTAATTGCAATTTGTAATGTGATAATTCTACTACTCAATATTCCAGATGATTCCATGATTTTATCTAATGATTTAAAGATCACACATATTGTCTGAATAGCAAATTAGTATCAATTTTTTTATGTGTCTCTTGTCTCACATTGATAATAATTACTTATACAAAACCATTCCAACAATTATGAAAAGTGTTAAAATAACATAGTGCTAACATTAGCCGATCTATTTTTGTTTGATAAATTTGTATTCTACTTGTGAATATATTAAATATATGGATTTGGTTTAAAAAATAAGATTTAACCTAAAAAGCACACACACACACACACACACACAAATATATATATATATATATATATATATATATATAGTTTGATGTCAAATACGTTTTCAAATAATAAAAAATATCCTATGTATGTCTAGTGACAACAGTTTGTTACAAAATCATTACAAAAGTAGATGTGAATATTTATAAGATTCATTATTATCGGAAAACTTAAATTTTATATACAAGAAAAAAATAAAAATAAAGACAACTAGATTTTTTTTGAATTTTTAAGAATTTTTTATCATTTAAACACTCTACGGTATAGCAATTTTAAAATGATTTATACCCTCCTGAATTTTCTATGTAGTATTTAATATTTATTTCTTAAAATGATTATATCCAGATATATTAATATTGAAAAGTAAAAGAATCCCGGAGTAGGAAATTAAGTAGAGTCAACAAGTCATTTTTGTACACAACCACTCAAATGTTTTAGCTGATTATGTCATAAGCAACTAAATCTGTTCAATATCTTATAAGGTATTGGTTATTGATTTAATGGCATGGCTAATAAAAACTGAAAATTGAATCAAAATATAATTTAAATCTATTACTTTTTATTGTTATTATATTAGCTATAATTGTGTTATGATGTGTGTAGAGTGCATATATATATATATATATATATGTATATAAATACACATATTATTCTTCTTGTTAATTAACATTCTTTGTTGCAAGAAAAATTATCAATTATTAGAGGTTAGTAATCATGAAAGGTGGTTTATTAAAGGAAAAATATAGTTTATTTTTGCAAGCGCCCTCCAATATAGAGCAGTTGCTTTCCCATGGGAGCTATGTGGACTTGCCTTGCTCAATCATGTATAGCCACATAGCATTCCAATCATATGGCATTTGTTAATTACTTTTGTTGATTAATGAAGGTCAATAGAATTCAATAACTAATTAGAAATCAAAGGTTATTATTTACGCATCATGGAATGGAGTTTGTTTCTAAAATTTTAATTAATTATTAAAAATCATTACTTTTTTGGAGACTAATTAATAGGATAACAATATATATATATATATATATATATATATATACATAGTTTTTTAAATTAGAGTTTGAAAATTATTTAGGACTCAATTATTATATTTAACTTCAATAAATTAACATTTAAATTTTAATTAAAAAATAATTTAAAATAACTATTTACATGCATGCACTAAATACCTTATGTGGGTATTATTAAAGAGTATTAAGAATTGTTTCTAAGACAAATTTTGAACATCTCATTCCTTTAGACACAAAAGTCTTTTTAAACCACATTGAAAATAATTGAGATAAAATAAAAAAAATAAATTTTACATTTTCATTTTCTTTTTTTATGGAACACCTGATTTAAATGAAAAAAGAAAAGAAAAAACGTTGTTAGACAGACGCTCTGCTTGTGAGTCAATTATTTATCGAGGGCGATGACGTGGAGGAGCCTCCTCGGAGGCGCTTATTTCAAAATTCGAAAGAGAAAGGCTGACGTCGACGAGACACAGAGGAAGCGGCCGGTCCGGACGCCGGTTCGATTGGACTCAGCCCATTCCTACACCCGTGCCCACCAACCGAACCTAGACCCGAAATCCGAAGCGGGATACGATGCGGGAAGCGTGTCAGAGGGCGGGGGAGAAGGGCTCAGGTGTTTTCGCCGCTCATTCACCCCCCATAATCCCGCTTGGTCAAGACTGCGAAGAAGGCGAAGAAGGCTCTTCGGATTCACCACGCCCATCTCTGTCTGTCTGTCTGTCTCTCTCTCTCGCATTTGCCCCGCCTTCCCCTCCCTGGTTTTCCACCGTCGCTGCCAATATTCCGTAGCCGACTTCTTAGCAGTTGCTTTACAAATAATTTTACTCGTTTTCTCTTGTGATGCGTTAAGCTTCAGGGTACTCCTATTGGGTTTAGTTCTTCTTGTGCTAGAGTTGTAGCGAGAGCGTCAGGGAGGAAGGGTTTGCGTGCTGTGCTCGAATGTCTGAGATATTGTTTGGATTCAGCAAAGCTCTTAAGTGCAGTTCATAGTCATCTCCGTGCAGGAGAGTTTGGTGAATTGGTATGCGAAAGAAGCAGTAGTGTGTGAGAGTGTGTGCAGGACAGTGAGCATGGTCGGTTACTGAGCGTGGAGAATTAGAATCCGTAGGGATAGTCGCGTGCAGTGAAATCAATTAGTCACATGTGAGACAAGAGATCTGGTTACCTATGGCGATGCCGCCAAGGTTGCCGCATCTTGTTCGCAAGGCAGTGTTGGCGAAATGGGAGAGGCTAGTTGGCCTTGCGATCGAGGCCGAGGAGGAGCGAACATTGCATGAATCTTATGGAGATGGCTACGGTGATACTTCTGTTGTGCCTCAAATTCTGCAACAGAAAAAAAATATCGACGACATCTTGCAAACGGCTCGTGATGTGGAGCAGACATATCCACAAGTGGCGCGTATCTGTATGTGTTAACTTGAATCTTCGCCTCTCTTTGTTGCAATTGTACATGGTTACATATATATAAACAAATTTCGTGCTTGATTCTCCAGTTGACTGCTGGTTCAATTTTTTCATGATTTTTTCCAATTGGACAAGTCGAACATGTTTATTTACATTTTCCGGTCACATTAATTGTGGAAAAGAGTGTTGTAACTGTTGAAGTAGAATTGTACTTAAATAAATATCTTGTTTAAGAGTAGAGTCATCACGTGTGACCCAAGCGATTATCAGGATTGTGCAACGTTTCGTTATCGGATTTTATGTCATTTCTTACCTCCTACGAGCTGCAATCTGAAGAGTGAATTATTATGTTGTTTAGAATATGTAACTAGCAGGGGTGTAACACTCACGTCTTTGTTAGCGTTACTCTTTTTGTTGAAAATTCGACTCCCAGTAGTATTCGGCAGTTGCGTTAACCTCCATTATCGCATAGGATTGTTATGTTATTTCTAAGGAAGAAATTAGTAGTTACGCTTGGTAGAATGCTGTAATTTGCGACATAATGGGTTCATTATGCACTGCTTCCTCTTCATGTTTTTGGTTTTGTTTTGTTTTTAATTTTTTTGGATTAATTAAGGTGTGTTTTACCAAACACTAATAAAGTCTACAAGAACATTTATTGGAGGAATCGTAGTCAGAAGTCCTGAAGTATTTTATATCTAAACATAAGGATTGTTCCTATGAATTCCTTCTTCATTCATTATGATGCAAAGATCAGTGGATTAACAAAATTCTTTTTGTGTGTGTGGGTGTGTGTCAGTATTCGAGTATGCATATGCGCTATCACAAAACCTGGATCCACGGAGTGAATCCAGAGGTGTTTTGCAGTTCAAGACGGGTTTGCTATCAATCATTAAGGTAAAATGTGTATTTTAAAGATTTTGCTTGAGGTCTTTATCTCGTTGATATTAAGTGCTATTATATTGAGCTCTAATGATTGCTCACGTTTCCATCTACACTACGTTCACTTTTGCTGCAGCAAACTCGTGGAGAGAAAACAGATCGTAGCCAAGATGTATATATTATTGAAGAATTTTACAAACATTTAAAGAGAAATCTTGACCAACTTGAGGATGAGGATTGGTTGCGGCGACAGCCTCAATACATTCAAAGATCGTACGTCTTATTCTATCCTGTCTCCATGTTTTTCCTGATAGTATCCAGTATTGTTGCTGTTAGATATGCGTGTAGTGAAATCCTGGACAATTCCAGGAGTCAGTGATTATATTGTTGCTTTCATCTTTTGATGAGATGTATAAATTATCAAGTAGGTCATTTAGAGTATTCAATGAGCTTGCTAATTTCTGTGTTGCAATGATTTTATGATTTTCTTTATTCGATTTCTTATGGAGATGACATGCTCTTTTGACGTCTTGTCATGCAGTCCGGAAGAATGGACGGAAATGAAAAGAAAAATTTATGTCACGTGTCAGATACTGAACGAGGTGCTTGATTTCCTGATAAAGGAGAATCCAGAAATGCAGCGTCACGTTGAATTTGATTCCGATGTAAGCTGGGCTTCTTTTGCTAGATTAATGATTTGAACAATTCCCCTACTGGATCTCTTACTGGCATTGATCATGAAGGGCATTGGTTTGAGTTGCTCTTTAGAGGATCAAGGTCTTAATATTGCGATATAGTTGATTGATTAATTTTGGTGGTTGACTAAGTGTCTTACCCTTACGAATCTTGCAAATTTTACTTCAATTCTATGATAGTTTTTTTGCTTAATTAAATCGGAAATCGCAATCCTGTAAAGAACGTTTAAGTATAGATATAACCCTGGGTATGAGAGAGCGATTCATATCAGATGCTTATGTTAAATGTTTCTTCAGTTGAAAGAGGACCTAGAGAAGACGGCTAAAAAGGTTGAGGACTACAAGCCTTACAACATCCTACCTTTCGAGGCTCCTGGCGTGGTTAATCCTTTTGAAAACTCTCTTGAGGTGGGACCTGGAACTCGAGTCATTGTACTGATAGGCGTTGGGTTATTTACTTCGAGTTTTGCCTTGCCTTCGTTCTCAATATTTTTTTGGAAAATCAATACTTTTAGGTCATTTCGATTGTAACGAAAACCTGATCCAACAAATTGTCATTGCCTTCGTCGATGAGTTTGTTCCCTGTTGACATGTCTCGCAAGTGCAGGTAATGGCAGCGATCAACACTATTACTTTGAATCTTCCTGACGGTTATGAATTTGGTGCTGACTTCACGCCGCCAAGGACAAGGAACCTGGATATCTTTGACTTCTTGCAATATGGCTTTGGATTTCAGGTATTTTCCTCCTCTCTCTCCCTCCCCCTACCCCGTCGTTCATCCTTCCCTTCTCGCAAATCTATTATTGCATGTTTTCTGCGATTCCACTTGATAGCACTGTGCAGGTATCATATCTTTCATGTTTATATCATTGAATTGGAATGTGGTTTTTAGGTATTGATGTTCATTTTCATTGTTTCCACATAATCTCTTTGAGTACTGATGCCTTGTACGTTGATTGAGCAACAGACTGATAACGTCTTGAATCAGCGAGAGCATCTAGTTCTCCTTTTGGCCAACTCTCAATCACACCTTGGGTCTCTTGGTAACAGAGATTCTGATGCATCACTCAAGGTACATCCTTTCTTTAGGTGCATAATTTCTGATCCTTCGGTGAAGCCACATCAGTTAGTATCGTCTGTTTGATTTTAAAATCTATTTTTAGTTTTGTTACTTGATTTACTTGCCTTTATTACATATTGGTTGCTAGGTTTAAATTTTTGAATTGCAGTGAAGTTCTGCTGCTTTTCTTTAGTTTTGGAAGCTTTGAAGTTGTATTCCTCTGGCATAGTGGCTAATTGATGTTGTACTCTACTGTGTTTCTCAGCTTGATCAAAGTTCCATCATTAGTGTACATAGTAAATTGCTGGAAAACTATGAACGATGGTGCGATTTCCTAAGGAAGGAAAAGTATTCAAATTTGTAAGCAGCTATTATTTTGTTTCATTCTTATTTTGCTTCATACTTTTTCATAAATTTCATGATTTAAAAATAAAAATGATAATTAAGAAAGTTGTTCCTAAATGCATTTTAGCATTATAATGTATGAATATTTGCTCCAAATTTGCTGTTAAGGACATTGAATTCGCACAAGTTGCAGGTGTTGCTGGAATGCCTCTCTTCCCCTTCATTTTATTACCTGTCAGGAACTTGTCAATATCTGTGTCATCCTATCTGGAAGTTAATTAGAGTATTATATTTGGTTTGGTGCAGAACAATTTGATTCAGTCTGTATTACTTGATTGCATGCTATTGATTCTAACATCTGCTTTCTGATTGTCGTGTGAACACACGTACTCTACAGTCGTTTTCAAGATTCTGCTGTCATACCACAACCGCGGCTCTTGTTCTCAGCCCTGTACCTCTTGATCTGGGGAGAGGCCTCGAACGTGCGGTTCTTGCCAGAGTGTATCTGTTACATCTATCATCACGTGAGTATGTCCTTGTTATTATCCATTCTCTGTGTCTCATTGCTGGTTTGATTTGCATTTCTAGTTATGTGATTTCTGTGAGTTACCGTGTTGAATTTTGATTAGGGAGATCTCTGAGGTTAAATTTTTGGCCATGTCGTCATAATTCTTTTCAGAGAGTTGAAATCCAAATTTCCTAATGCGGTTTGTACTTCAAGTGTTTTGTTATGAGGTTCGTATTGTTGAAAAAGTATATCATGCCAAACAATGTTTTCTGTTTTCGTGAAAATACGATATTCATCAGATTACTATGACCTCAATTGATGTAATATTTGGATTTCTTTTGTTTTTGGGGTGTGCAGATGGCATATGAAATTTGTGCAGAAGGTACAGATAGTTTGTCAAAGAATGGCTTCCGTCAAAAATCAATAATCCTGAGGGATAGTGACTCATTTTTGGATGCGATCATCAAACCCATTCATGAGATAGTTGCGGCGGTAAGGTTTCGACAACAGGGCTCGAAATACCAAATTCATCATTGCCCTGAATACACTGTTTCTGTTATTGTGATGTCCTGAACAAATTATTTTCAGACGATGCTAGAACAGAATGAATCTGATTTTGTAGGAATCATCAGCTAATCATGTCTAGAAAACCTGCAACAAAATGGCCGCTTTACAGTCTTCTTTTTGAATTTAAGTTGCCAGTTGAATACGTTGCAAGTAGAAGTAATTTTCAATTATCCTATTATCAAGTATTAACGTTTTTCAAATTCACACCGTTTTCCTCTGGCTTTTCATTTGTTGAACCAATTCAGGAAGCCAAGGTTTGCAACCATGGAAAATCTCCACATTCAAGGTGGCGAAATTATGATGATTTTAATGAGTATTTTTGGGCTCCGTTTTGCTTTGAGTTGGGGTGGCCGTGGAGGCTGAATTCTGGATTTTTCGTAAAGCCGAAGCAGATCACTAATAAGAAGACGAGCAAATTTGTAAGTAGACATATCGGGCATATTGCATGTATTCACCCTAACTCGGTGCCCTTGGTAAAATTGAGTTTGATCTGAATCTCGATAATTACTGCAACTCCAATTTTGTTGGCTTTAAGTTTTAGGATTGATTAAACTGATACGGTTGAAGCTGGTGTTCAGAAATCCCGAGAAGCACAAGATCAAGTTCCACTACTTTTGGATCGAGATCAACGTTCGGAACCAAGTCAGCGAAGGGAGAGAAAAGCAGGGAAATCTCACTTTGTCGAGCACCGCAGCGGCCTACACTTGTATCATAGTTTTCACCGACTTTGGATTTTCCTTGTTTGCATGCTTCAGGTAGTTTGACCTTTTATACATTCTGCCTAATGAACTGTAAGGTTGAGTGCGTCTTGGTTATCCATTGTCAACACCTTGCTCGGGCTTTGAATCGGATAACATTTTGCATTGTAACTTGGACCCTTTATTATCTCATGTAATTCTGTGTAGAACTTTTTATCTGCTATTATGCTTTATTGTTTTTCTGAAGACCTTTCGAGGACTTTCTGAAATGGTACGGTTGATGTGTTGGGACGATGTGTCTGGTCGTTCGTCCTTGTGACTATCCAGTAATTGTTTTTGGAACAATGTCTTCGTATCTTGCAACAGGGTTTCATTGGCAAAACTGATATACTTTTTTCGGTGCTACTAGGGACTCGCAATTTTTGCCTTCTGCGATGCGAAGCTGAATTCGGTCAGCATCAAGTACATTTTGAGCGTTGGTCCCACATTTGTTGCCATGAAATTTTTACAATGTAAGTCAACCTCTGGTTTTATTTTGCAAACTAACATCAAGTTGCAGCATGATGTATGTAAGATGATTTCTGGCGCATCGCATTTCTGTTGGATGTTTTAATTGTGATGATGTTCTTCTGAAAGTGTACATATGATCTTCGCGCTTGTTTCTATGATAGTTTGTGTGGATCATTGGTGAAGAAATGTATTAGTGTTCCGGGAATTTTAACTTACAACACCAGTTCTGTTATAAAGTGTGCTCTTTTAAATTGGCCGTCAAGTTTGATATGTTTCAGAAAATGGTTTGCTCACTACAGTTTGTTCTTCATTTTAGTGATCATATTAGAGATGGTGAATTTATTAGTTTCAAAAGTATACTTTACGCTTTTTGTTCCTGCCTAAAGGGCTTGTCTACAAAGTGGTGAAGTGTTGTTTTCTGATAAACCTTATCTGCTGTATTGTCCAGCTGTGTTAGATGTGATATTAATGATCGGAGCATACAGAAGTACACGAGCACGCACTTTATCAAGAATTTGGCTGCGATTGATTTGGTTCGCCAGTCTCTCAGCAGCTATTATTATTCTATTTGTGTAAGTCTTTTCTCTGTTTCTTAAGGATTGTGGGTTACGGTCCACATTGTTCGTACAGTTTTAAACTCGTGTCCTTAATTACAGACTGGATTATGTAACCAAGCCCTTGCTGACGTTCTACTAATTTCTGGCCGACTTCTTGGTTGGTTACGTTCCGAAGGTATCTTTTTACTTGATGTAAAATTTCTGATTTAATTTCGATACTTGCAGGAAGACAATTCAGGAACAAGACAGTGGGTCGAATTCGAGTACATGGTTTAGACTTTATTGCATTCTCTTGATAATTTACGGAGGATCACAGCTCTTTGTTGCGCTGCTGTTGAATATGCCTTGGCTTCGACGGCTAACTGAGAAGTACTTTAACTTTGGTCCTTTATCGTTTTTGAATTGGGTGCACCAGGTAACTCATATTTCGCAGTTGATGTTTTTTATTCTCTATTTTCTATTTCCTATTGATTATATTTTTTCTGTGCTTAGGAAATGTATGCGAAATCTATACGAAGCAGTTTTTAAAGTTTTTAATATTCATTAAATATATATATATATATAATTTAAATAAACGAAATCTGAAATAAACAAAAATAGAAATTTATTTGCGATTCTAATTTTTGGGTGCTATTTTCACACCAGGAACGGTATTATGTGGGACGTGGTATGTATGAAAGCACTGGCGATTATCTCTCGTAAGCAATGTCAACGCTCAAATCCTTTAGGCGTTTAGATGATAAACTATGAAATCCCGATCTTTAGTCTTTAATGCTCTGAGGCGGTTCAATGAACTAAAACATGTGTGTAGGAAATTATGTGCTTCTTAGCCATGTTGAGGTAGCCATATTTCACCAAAGTTACAAAGATACAGTACTTGAAATTCTAGGACAGCTTTAAGGTTCAAAACAATAGAGAAGGATACTTTCTTATCCTTGTTGGGACATTCCCACACTTTTGAATGCTGAAAGGATCTGCAAGGTACTATCATAAAGAAATCAATAAGTTGATATTTGACTTTGTCATATGGCAGGTACATTTTGTTCTGGCTGCTCGTCTTGGCTTGCAAATTCTCCTTTAGCTATTTCCTTCAGGTGATTTCCTCTCACCGTGTCCAGGAAAGTACTGGTAATGGAGATAATTGTGATCAGAGTAATGGAGTATCATAAGAGTGACTAACAAAGGTAGGTGACGCGCAATGCAGATCAACACTATGGTGAAGCCAACACGAGCCATCATCGACATCAAAAATATCGATTATCGATGGAGAGATATTTTCTCAAAAAGTATGTCTCCGAAACCACTATCTTTTCCAGGGTATCAGTCTCTGCTGAACGACATGTTCAATAGAAGTTGTTTTACTTGTTCTCTTGTTTCAGTTCGTTTTTTTGAATTGAGGTTTTGTCACTCGCAGCCTTACACGATGTGATTGTTAACAACTCTTTGTATGTTTTGTTAGGTCATCATAATGCGCTTACTCTTGTTTCGTTATGGGCTCCTGTTGTCATGGTATTTTACTCGTGCCATCAACTAGTGTTCTGAGTCACGTTGAGTTTTCGATTGAGGAAGTATTTGTGTAAAAGTTTAAAGAAAGCTGCCTTCTTGTATTTTTTAATTTTGAGCTTCTAGATTCACTGTTCCCATTTGTGAGGTGTACGGTTTTTGCACCAGTTTGAGAAGGCCATGATACTCGTAATTTTCATGATATGAAAAATGTGTATGAATTTGATCATTGAGGTCGAGTGCAGGGTTTTAACCTTTATTAATTGTATGATCCAATATTCATGTTCCAGATTTATTTCCTGGATCTGCAAATTTGGTATACGGTTATCTCTGCACTTGTTGGAGGGCTCAATGGAGCCAGAATAGGACTTGGAGAGGTGGGTGATGATTCAAATCTTGTGTACGTTATGTGAACCAAATGCAGGATATGAAATTTCTGTTCTTGCATGAAGCTGGAATGAGTGCAAAAGTCGATGATATTTGTGCTAGTTTGTAGTGCTTCGTTCGATTTGGTTATCTATTTGCAGTGGTCTTATTCCAGAAAACTTAAATAGTGTAGTCAATTGAGGCAAACTTATGCTCCCCAGTAAATCTTTGGTACAGATACAGTTAGTATGCATTAGAATGTGCCTCGAATTCAGTGACACTTGGTTACTCAATCTTGTGTTTGTTTTTCTTTCAATGTGCCAGATTCGGTCTCTTCACATGTTGCGTACTCATTTCTCGTCCTTGCCATCAGCATTTACGAAACGTCTGCAACCTAACCAACCTCATCAAGAGTTTATGTACTACACTTCGCGTGAAAAAAGACCTATGATCACTAAATCTTGCGTTATGATAAGTCTCAAAATACATTAAGTTCTGTGACATTAGATTTGGGTCTGGATTTGAATCCCTACGTTCATTCTCGCAGGGCTATGAGGGAGTCAGCTGATATGCGCAAACCAAAGCTTGATGCTAGACGTTTCGCTCCTATTTGGAACGAAGTGATCATATCCTTACGTGAAGAAGATCTCATCAGCAATAAGTGAGACAAATATCTATAGTTTTGGACTTCTGAAGAGTGATTTATCTCTTTTCCATACCATCTTGATACTCTTTCACTATTTATCGCTTAAGTCTCATAGGCGAAACTATGCTGTTTGCACTTTCTACCTGATGACCTTGCTCTGTACCTGATGAGGACCTGTCTATTTGTCGTCATGCCTGTGCAGAGAGAGAGACTTGTTAGTCATGCCACTTAATATCTCAACACCCTTGACAACATCTTCACAACCTCTTACACTGATTCAGTGGCCTTTGTTCTTACTAGCCAATAAGGTGTGTGGTTCTTAGTTTTTGTTGATTGAATGTTGTCACTATGATGGCACCATGATGGGACCTTACTACATTTGGTTTCACGTCACATATCCTATAGATCTGTGTGTTTTGAGCGAGACGATTAGAGCTGCTAATCTTGTAAATCTTAGGCTAGCCGGGTAATTGTTTACCAAGTGCTTGGTTTTGGGTGCTGGATGCAGGTTTATGTCGCCTGTGACATGGCGGAAGTACATAAGCAAGCTAATCAGGATGACCTCTGCGAAAAAATAGGGAAGGATCCTTACATGATGTTTGCCGTACAAGAGGCTTTCTACGTGCTACGAATAATACTGGAGTATCTATTGATGAATGATCAAGGGGCTCTTTGGTATGTCTGCGTTTAGATAATAATCTCACAATGCATTTTGGCAATGACGTTAGGTTTAGTTTACTCCTTTTGCGTAGAGAGTTGCGGAAGATTTACATTGTTCTCGATCTTCTATGGATTTAATCATGCTCTACATACTCTTCACTTCACCTTTAGATTGAGGAATGTTGTTTGCACGGTAGGTCTACATTCTACCTATCATAAATGTCTAGTTTAAAGTTGCTACCTCGATCCTTCCTGTAGGTTGTTTAGTTATGAATGGCCGAAGATACTATCTTGTGTTTGGTCGACTGCTTCAACATCTTAATGGCAGGGGGCTTTTCTCATTGTTCCTTTTTATGCATAAGACTAGCTCTTGAGCGTTGTCTGACTGGAGGTCGCAATTACGTCCTTTTCTGCTCCCGGCTGGATGGCAGGGTGACCAAGGTCTACGAGGGTTTGGAACAGGCTATGCATGTTCGTCAGTTGAGGAATAAATTCAATTTGAGGAAGAGCCAACTCCGCAAATTGTTGGATAAGGCTGCAGGGCTTACTACTGTTGTGGTAAGTGACTTGTACAGTGTTTTGTTTGATTTATCTACACAAAACTTGTTATAAGATCATGGCTCTGCAAGTTTAGAAATGGTTCAAGTAAATGTTGTGTTATAGAATATGAGGCATTGAGTTCAGCGACACGCTCAACATGTGCGACTTGGGAAGTCGTTTGTGAATTAACTTTGCTGGGTCTCGTTCTCTACTTAACAGATCCGCGAGTCTAAAAAAATCGATGATCTCGTGAAGGAAGGTGCTCTAGACGACAAAATGAAAAAGGAATATACAGAATCTCTCCGGAAAGAATTGCTAGATTTCTATGACGTGGTGATGCGCGATTTCATTGCCGATTCGGAATTGAGGTCTGGCATTCAGATCAGTGGACACTGTCGCTTGGTGCTTTACAAGTAGTCAATATGTATGCTGAAGTGGGTCATATGTTTTCCTGTTCGTAATCTGAGCCTTGTATGGTTTCGTGAATAGAAACGACGCTGAAGGTAATTACGAGCTTCAAACTGCAAAACAGTCTGGGCGGCTGTTTTCAGATTTGGCTTTACCTACCGAAGAATCAGTACGTTTCTTTACATTTTCCTCTGAATTATTCGGTTCACTTAATGCAATTCTAGATTCTGAGGGATATACACTTCCTGAATCTTCATGTTTTGAACTATATTTCAGTATTTCCGAATACTTTGCCTGTCTTGGAGTTTTAGATTATCTAGGACTTGATGTAAAGAATGCTGGTATTACCGAGACAATAGATTTCTACCTAACCACAATCGTTCCGATGTACAGAAAGCACTAGTTGAAAGACTACATAGCATTTTGACATTTAAGGAATCAGCCTTAAATGTACCAGAGAATCTGGAAGCTCGTCGACGATTGGAGTTCTTCAGTAATTCTTTGTTTATGAGAATGCCCAACGCACCGTCTGTTCGTAAAATGCTTTCTTTCAGGTGAGCCATACTGCTGTGGTCTTTATTTCAATCTTTTGGTGAGAAATCTAATAAATTAGAGCGGAGGTCATGGAGTTTGCATAATGTTTTCATGCTTTGTCACTTAACCTTTAGTGATGGGTACAAGGATCTTCACTGCCATTGCTGGCAACTTTTGTTAGTATCGTTGATTGATATTAATAAAGATTTTCTCTGTTTGAGTGATGGGGTACAGTGTTTTTACACCGTATTATTCGGAAGACGTGATTTACAGTCCCCAACAGCTTGCCAAAGAAAACGATGATGGCATCTCTATGATGTACTATTTGAGGACAATTGTTCCAGGTTTGTGTCTTTATGTTCTGGCCCTCGGTTACCCTCTTCGTCTACTACATGTGATATGAAACACTTTTCTAAATACTGCTGGATATGCACGTCTAATATTTTAAGGAATTCGTTTGGTTCAATTTGAGGATTCTTTTATTTCTAGTTTCTCACGTTCATGATACGTACCACCTTTGTAATCTAGATTTCGTCAGAATACTCTCATAATTTGACCTGAGGCAGTTGTTTATCCACATGAGTTCGATTGTGTACATGGCATTCTACAGATGAGTGGAATAATTTTTTGGAGAGGGTTTATCCAAAGAAGGAAGACCGTGAAGCGAAAAAGGCTCTTCTGAAGACAATCTTTCCTAAAGAGTTCAAGTTCAAGGAGAATGAACAGCCAAGGAAACCCGAAGATCTTAATGAAGATGTCAAGTTGAAGTTGCGCCTTTGGGCTTCTTATCGAGGCCAGACCCTTGCTCGAACAGGTAAGTGCATTGTTGGGCATGTTGGTCTCTTCTCTGCCTCCTGTTTTTGGGTGAGTTGGATCTACGAGTATTCATAGTAAGAGTGGGCAGAATCCTTTTGGTATTTATTTTACCAATGTCGCTATGCTTCATGCTGCGATGCAATTAATTATTTTGATTCTCTTGCTTATTTCTTGTAGTGCTGGTATTGCTGCAAGACATGGCTCCAAAGTAACATACTTGTGCTGTCTTGTAGTTCGTGGAATGATGTATTACAAAAGAGCTCTTGTATTACAGTCGCAGCAAGAAGGAGCAACTGTATCAGGTGATTTTTCTGCAGTTGAAAGATGTTAACGAGATTTAGTTTTGTTGGATAACGTTGCAACGATCAGGTTTCATCCAGTTTCAAGTTCTTTTGTGCTAGATACTTTCACTTCACTTTAATGGGTTTGGTATGGATTTCAGCAGAAGATCTGGAACAAGGACGTCAGTATTTGACGTCGGCTGCCTCTCAAGTTCCCGGTGTCCTGAATGCAAGAGCTCAGGCAGAACTGAAGTTTCTTTATGTGGTAAGTGCCCAAATCTATGGTGAACAAAACCAGGGAGATAAGGGAGCTGAAGGCCGACAAAAAGCTGCTGACATTTCGTACTTGATGAAGACGTGAGTGCTTGTTGCGAATTGCCTTCTGTTAATGCTTTTGTTCTTGTGGTTTTACAGTCATTTGTTAGGATTAAATTTTCCCATGTGGAATGTGCGACTTGTTCTTCATTCATATTTTCAGCTATCGTACCTTCGGCATTCTCACCGCTCTTACACAACGTTGTTCTCTTCGTCGTCAAGTCTTAAACCTCTGGAATTTCTTAAGCATGCTTTGACGGCCAAAACAACGTTGGCCCTTTGAGCTAGTTAACAAACTTTTCTACGCTTTTTCAGTAACCATGTGCGCAGAAGCACGCAAGGCATTCTTGACTGGATAATGCCACCACATCTAATAGAGGTTGCCTATGTTGCCATTTGACTTGACAGGTTTGATTCTTTGAGAATATCCTACATCCATAAGGCTAAGGTGAAGACTGAAGGGAAGGAGGTGACTGAATATTATTCAAAACTTATGAAAGCTGATCCTAGTGGAAATGATCAGGTGATGATACAATCAATTCTGGTTCATTGACTTATTAGTTCTCATGACATGCCGCAAATATCCTCGTAGTCATCACATCTTTATAATACTTATTTACATTGATTTATTTCTGAGTTGCAATGCAACACCTAAAGTTTCTAGCTTTTGGATGACCAAAGAAGCACATTATTATATTTTTTATTTGATTTCATTTAATTAAGTAACTTTTCATCATGTTGTTCCTGTTATTTTACAAGGATTGAAATCCCCAAAATCCTCACGGTATGGAATTGGACGCAGGAAATTTACTCTATAAAATTGCCCGGAGAAGTAATTTTAGGGGAGGGCAAGCCTGAAAATCAAAACCATGCGATTATTTTTACTCGTGGGGAAGCCCTTCAGACTATTGACATGAATCAGGTTTGTCTACCTTGCGAAGGACTCTGCGTGGTGCAACTATTTTGATAGCTCTCTCCTTTCAAATCAAACATGAATTAGTGGTTTTTATATTTTACCTGCAGAATTTCAGTAGAGTTTGAACGTTGGTGGGATTTGACGTCATATTTGTGGATACCCTCTCATTGATGCAGGAGCATTACTTGGAAGAAACTTTCAAGATGAGGAACCTTCTGGAAGAATTTAATGAATCTAGGAGATATGGGCACCGAAATCCCACCATTCTTGGTGTTCGTGAGCATGTGTTTACTGGAAGGTGCAAGTCTACATCACTATCTTCCATAAATTCTGAGCTTGAAATTTTGAGGTGGAAGTTGAGCATTACTTATGATCAAATGGCTTTTTAACTACACCTTCTCAATCTGCGTTTTCAGCAGGAAGCTTCCGTTCTACAGCATGTTGCTAAACCCCTGAATTACTATCTTTCTGGTTGCAGTGTGTCTTCTTTGGCATGGTTCATGTCTCTCCAGGAGCGGAGCTTCGTAACACTTGGCCAACGGGTTCTTGCAAATCCACTCAAGTAAGTAATTCGAAACCCTATGAGAAACTGATAGCCAACTACATGGTCATTATTGTTTAATCTAAAATGGATTTTTATTAGGTTGAATCTTTCAGCTTCATGTTTCTGTTGGCTTATAGTATGCTGCAGTGTACGAATTGACTCGTAATGCTTCGTATTTCGCTACGGTCATGCTCGTACGCTTCAAACATTCTGCGGAAATGGTATTCGATGAAGTTTATTTCTGCTGTAACCGCACCATTTGCTGTAGGGTGAGAATGCACTATGGACACCCGGATGTCTTTGACCGCATTTTCCATATCACAAGGGGAGGCATCAGTAAGGCATCGAAGCAGATTAACCTTAGTGAAGATATTTTTGCAGGTTCCATCATTCACCTGATATCTTGATTTCTTACTTTGAATGTAGTGATTCCCAAGAAATACCATGAACCACAGATAAAGTATGATGGGTTTGTTGATGCAGACTCATGATGAGGGTACATAATGAGTTCATGTTATTAATCGTTGTTAATCGTTGTTAATCGTTGTTATGGAACTTTATCCTCTGGTCAGCTACAACCAAGCTCTATTGCTTTTCTGCAGGATTCAATTCTACTTTACGACTAGGGAATGTTACCCATCATGAATACATTCAGGTCACTTGCATCCTCACATGACCTACTGTACTTCGATTGCAGATTTTTATCTCGAGTGCTAGATATTTACTTTTCAATGGCTGTTAAGTTGATAATTTTTACTTGTTTGGGAATTCCAGTGTGGCAAGGGGCGAGACGTAGGCTTGAATCAAATTGCGGCATTTGAAGGGAAAGTGGCCTCTGGAAACGGGGAACAAACCCTTAGTCGTGATATCTATCGGTTGGGTCAACTCTTTGACTTCTTCCGGATGCTGTCCTTCTTCTTTACAACTGTTGGTTATTATTTCACGACTATGGTATGTTTCATATGTAACCTGTTTACAGATGAATCAATGCCGTTTTGGATGGATGCAAACATAAGCCGGTTGTGTTTCCCTTAGAGGAGGCTTTCTTCCATTTTATGCATTTTGTACTTTCTATGATTTACGATTAAGGCTGTTGTACTTTGTGTTTGACAGCTGACTGTTTTGACGGTCTACGTGTTTCTATACGGCAAAGTATATTTGGTATGTCCAGTCCTAGTATTTACAATCAGCATGTTATGGTTGCTAACATTCATGGGTTTGAATTGTAGCTTCACTTTATGTGGGATAATTTCAAGTTTAATTCTATTTGTTTGTTTGTTTGTTTGTTTGTTTTTATTTTTTTGATTTTTTGTTTTTCTAAGTTATAGAGGTTCACATGTTGTTACAGGCACTATCAGGAGTGGACCAAAATCTTAAAGACCAAGGTCTTTCCACTAATGTGGCGTTGCAATCAGCACTCGACACTCAGTTCCTTCTGCAGATAGGTGTTTTCACTGCAGTGCCTATGATTATGAACTTCGTATTAGAGGAAGGAATTTTGAAGGTACGAAACTTGTTCAACCATTCTTCTTCTCCTGTTATATTTTCTTTAAATCGTATCTGTTTGTCAGTTTTTGTGACTATGCTGTTTAATCTGTCCTCTAACTTTCTATTTTTGGGAATGTAGGCAATTATAAGCTTTCTTACGATGCAGCTTCAATTGAGTTCGGTTTTCTTTACCTTCTCACTTGGCACACGAACGCACTACTTTGGCCGCACCATTCTCCATGGAGGTGCCAAGGTGCAGTTTTCTTACTTCTTCCTCCTGCTTGTTAAAATTGCTGATGAATTACTGCAGTTTTTTGGTAGCGAGGCACACCATTGCAATATTTTCTAAATAAAGATCTAGATTTTTCGAGAATGTTCAGTACTAAAATGTAATTTGAAAATAGTCGGTGCTAATCCTTTTATTCTACACAGTAATCGAATTGACGGCAAAATTAACTGTGACATGCAACCTGTATTCGTGTATTGTTGATAGTTGGTTTTGTTGTTCACGCAGTATGCAAGCACTGGGAGAGGGTTTGTGGTTGCACATATTCCATTTGCTGAAAATTATCGAATGTACTCCCGGAGCCACTTCGTAAAAGCGTAAGCTGTTACTCAGTCCAAGCATCCGTGCACATTGTCTGTTAGTGAACATTATCTTTAACTCAATATTTTCTGATGCAATAGTAAAAGTGGCATTGCCTTCAGTTTTTTATTAACTTTTTTTTGGATGCAGTTTAGAGATTATGCTGCTGCTCATTGTATACCTTGCATACGGGGCTTCAGAACGGACGACTCTCACCTACGTTCTTCTTACATTTAGCAGTTGGTTTCTCGCCATTTCATGGCTGTGGGCTCCTTACATATTTAATCCTTCAGGATTTGAGTGGCAAAAGTGAGCACCAGAGAATTCCTTACCTTTGTTTTGTTCTCCTACTTTGTCTATCTATTCTGTTTTGTGATCTATCCTTTTGTTCTCAACTGATGGACCCTCACGCAGGACTGTGGCCGACTTCGATGACTGGACGAACTGGTTATTCCACAAAGGAGGCATCGGAGACGAGGGTAAGAAAAGTTGGGAAGTCTGGTGGCTGGAGGAGCAAGCACACATTCAAACACCTCGAGGGCGATTTTGGGAGATAGTGCTCAGCTTGCGATTCTTCTTAGTCCAGTATGGTGTTATATATGCACTTAATGTTGTTGGTCATGACAAAGGATTCCGGGTTAGATCTCTGCCCCCTTTCCTTTCAGCTTCTACATTACTATGTCTCTTTCATATTTGACCAAGTTTGTTATAAATATTTCAGTAAATCCTGGTTTAAGTACCAGATCTTCGAGAGATTGTCTTGTATCGTGTAATGTGAGGCTCTGATCATTTTGGATATACCTAATGTGTCCATTGCTTCCTTACACTTTCTGAATTTTTGTGCGCCTTGTGGTTGTTCTATATGCAGGTCTATGGGTTCTCTTGGTGTGTGCTGGTCGGGATTGTACTCACATTCAAAGTAAGCAGCATTGTTCTTTCACTACCTTAATTTCCTAATTCGTGCTTTTTCTTTTGAACTCGTTAGGGAAAAATCGTCTTTAAAAAATAATTTGAAAAGAAAAGAACTAAGTAAATAAGTATAAAGAAGATAACAATCAGCTTAGATTGGGGTTTAGATGACACAAATTATGTATTTATTTCATTTTGTTTCGTTACTTGATCATTTTTTTGATCTTGAGTTTTCAGGTGTTTTCTATGAACCAAAAATCATGGGCAAACTTTCAACTCTTTCTGCGGCTCTTTCAAATGACGGTTTTCTTGGCCATTATCGGCGGTGTGATTGTCGCTGTGGCGATGACGGCTCTTACAATTGGCGATGTGTTTGCATGTGCTTTGTCACTCATCCCTACTGGCTGGGGCCTAATTTCTGTAAGTGTTATTTTTTCGGTGTTCTTCGCTTGTATGCACTTTCTTTGCATCTGTTTAGCATCTAGAATAATGCTGTTTATGATTCTAAGTCTGGTCAGAAGCAGGATTCGTTAATCAGGTGGGAGAAGGTGCAAACATAGAAATCTGAACCAACTTTTTTCTTTTTTGTTTGTTTTTATCTTTTTGTGTGCAGATCGCAATTGCGATTCGGCCTGTTATGAAGCGGCTGGGTTTGTGGAAGTCGATTCGAGCTATAGCAAGACTTTATGAAGCTTTCATGGGAGCTATTGTGTTCATTCCCATTGCCATACTATCCTGGTTTCCTTTTGTCTCAACTTTCCAAACTCGCCTTGTATTTAATCAGGCGTTCAGTAGGGGACTGGAGATCTCGACGTTGTTGGCTGGAAATAATCCTAACAGTAATATGTAGTATCGAGTTTTTACTTAACTTCGAAGCATCCTGATGCCAGTTCCACTGGTTGAAGTTTGGTTTTTCCGAAATTATGTCTTAAGCGTTCAGTAGTGTCTTCTTCTTTCTTTCTTTTTTTCTTTTTTTTCTTCCTTTCGACCCCGCGATCTATATCTCTCGGTCGATCTTTTTTTTATTACGGCCAGAAGTTTTATTTGGATATTTGGCCCCTTGATCCCATGTCTGTCAAGGATAAGGACCTACACTTTCAATGTGTGGTCCCGCTCTATTTGTTTTCACGTTTTTAAGTTGACGTCATAGAGGTAGACATTATGAGGCGTCCGAGTCTTTCAAGGAGCGCAAGGAATTGGTAGCGTCAGATTAGAACACCGATGGAGGCTATAGGGCAGTAATTTAGAGCAATCTACAGGAGTGGATAGCACCTATGTTTTTCACCAGAAATTTTGCTTATTGTATGTGACACAGACATAGCAACCATGATCAGTTTAGTTTTTGATTTCGGATATCCCGGGCTAGTATCTAGTTCGAGAGACCAAGTGTATTGGAAGCTACAATCGATCAGTGAATCTGTTGATCGGAACGTCTTGTCCCCTTTCAGATCATTGCCTCGGTTCGAACAACAGATTCTGCCCTGTAGCCTATGTGATAAGGAGCATGCTTTCACAAATTGAAAGGACAAGATACTACGTTGAAAATTATCTGTAGCTTTCTGAGAATCCTTGATGTGGAAGATGACGATGATTGAGTTTCCTTCATTCAGGTGTATGTAATATTAGTCTTTTAATTCCTCTTTGTTGCATCTATCACCATTACTAGCCCTCATCTTGACTTGCAGCTTCAATAAAGTAAGTGTGCATGGTAAATATTGGATAATAGACGCAAACAAGAACCTATTTCGTTTTTGATTAAGTGGGAAGATAATATTGAAGCCAATGTTACACGTCATAGTCCAAAGAGGTAACAATTGTTGGATGCCAAATGTTGTATGAATACTACAACTCCAAGTAGAAACACAACAAAGTCAGATGAGAGATAACAAGATTATGTTGAAGGGCGCAATGGGCAAATGCCAAACTTGGATCTCATCAATATTATCAATACAGTAGCACAATGGAGGCGCTTGAATATTCATTTCGACATTATAGGTATGTTAGAATCAATGTTATTTCATGGACTTCATTAAGTGAAAATATAGGCTACTTTGCAGAGAAAGTGCATAGAGATTGGAACTTTGTCATGAATGCTTCCTCATATGTAGAAAGCTTTGCAACTCTGTGCATATCTTTCTTAAATCAAATATGCTTTGCACATGATTGTTAGAAGCATGATGAACTCAATTAATGTATGATAGAGAACTAAATTAAGAGGTATTGTGCTATAATAATCTCCATTGTCTTGAAGAGGTGGTTTATGCAAAAAAAATTTTCCTCTACTGCATCCTCAAAGCTCTATTATTGATCTAGTTGACAATATTCATGACATTAATATTATGTTTTTGAATTTTTTCAAGGAAATGAACAATCAATTGTACTCATGAAATATTTTTAAATTACAAAATTGATGCAATGACATTGAATATGTTTGTGGGTGGTGATTTGAAAAGTTCCAATTATCAGATCAATTTATTTATCAAATATAGAAAGTTTATATTTTTAAACTTCTCTTATCTTAATCTATTGCAAGACAAAAAGAAAAAGAAAAAGATTCAAATTGGACTCGATTTTTGTATAGATCTTGATTGGCAATACCATTTATCTTTAGTCCTTCTGTTTCAATATTTTTATATATTCATCTTCTTATAGTTTAAGTTAGGTTGGTGGAGGGAGTCATGCACTTGACGAACAACTTGTTGGAGAAGTTTCACCTATCATTTTTTTGAATCTTCTTTGTAGTCCTAGCAAGTTTGTATTGGTGGACATTTACATAATTTCTCTTGGTCTTTTTCTTATTATACTTTCTTTAGAGGTAGTAGTTCTTTAATCTCTTTTAAATAAAGCAAATAAAATTGGTCCAACATCAAACTTTCAAGTTCTAAATTCACATTCTACCAATACAAGCATTCTAAAAACTACTACAATCAAGATTGTTGAAGAGCCAAAGAAAAATGAAAGTCAATGGCAATACATGATTTTGGCTCTAAATATTATTTAATTGTTATTGTGCTTTTACCACCTATAGTGTTTTTGTTTTTGGATATACTTGAGATGAATTTAGCTTCTTCAACCATTAATACTCCAACTGGTGGATTCAATTCAGCAAGCTTAAAAATGTTATTATAGGCTAAGAGTGGAGGCTGCAAATTGAGAGAAAGGAGAGGAGAGAGAGAGATGAGGAGGATTTAAGAATGGAAGAAATGAGGTAGGTCAAAATAGAGGCTAAGAACAAAGGGAGTCGGGTTTGGTTTCAAAGAAGATTGAAATAAGGGCCATGATTGTATTATTTGTTTTTTGGGATGATCCATTTTTCTAATGATGGTTAGAATAGGGTGGGTTGATTTAGTAAATAGTAGGTCATTTTAATACTTTTTTAAAATAAATTATATTATTTTGTTTTAAAAAATTATTTATATATGCATAAAATATAATAAAATATACAACATAAAGCTTTACAAGTATATGTATGTTTGTATATATATATATATATATATATATATATATATATATATATAGCTTTTAACTATTAAAATTAAATTTAAAATATTAACAATCATAACATTAAGACTTTTTAAGTAAAAACAACCATGTTTAAATATATTTAAGCTTAAGAAAATTCTAGTATTATTAATAGCATACTTAATATATAATATATAATAATTTTTTATAATAATTATTACTAAATTATGTAGGTATAGATATTAATAGACCAATTATTATATTACTGTATAAAAATTTATTATAATTTCTTGCATTTTATTCTTTGTTTATTTAATACTTAAAATAAGTGTTTGTATTATTTTTTCTTAACAATAGAATATTATTTTAGAAGAATTGAATTGAAGATATTTTTAGGAAGAAAAATCTAATAATTTAATTAATGATAATAAAAAATTAAACTACAATATATATATATATATATATATATATATATATATTTGTTTTTTCCATTTTATTGACGAGGTTTAAAATTGATTTAAAAAAATTATTTAGAATTATTTTGATATTGTATGTATATATATATATATATATATATATATATGTATATATATATAATACGCTAACACAATGGAGTTCCAGGTCATATTTTTTTATTTATTTTGCAAATTATTTATAAGTATTTTTATAACTTAGTTTATTCTTTTTTATGTATAACATAAATCTCTCTCTCTCTCTCTCTCTATATATATATATATATATATATATATATAAGTTTCAGGATTCCATATATATATACAAAAATAAATAAATTATAATATATCTTAGACTTGAACTTTTTATAATAGTTGTAACTATTTTATAATTTTAGATTAAAATAATAATTTTTATTAAAAAAAATATATATCATAATTTAGATTTGCAAAAATATGTATATATATATATATATATATAATTATTTTTAACACTGTTAAAAATATATATTAATATTTAAACTTATAGATAGAATAAGTAGAATTTAGATGATAGTAAATTTATTTATTGATTTAAATCAAGTTGATGCCTTTAAAAATGCCTTTAAAGAAAATCGTCTATTTTTGTAATAGTATGGCTATATATTTTATCATTTATATTATCAAAAGAATATTAAAATAAATTCTAATATATATATATATATATATATATATATATATTTAAATGATGATTTTAAATGCCTTGTATATGAGATTTTATATTATTATTTAATACCAAGTGTTTAAAACCTATTTACTTTAAATAAATTCTTCTTTATTTGTTAAGTAATCTAAAGTAATAATTCAAATATTTAAATAAATAGTAAAAATTTATTCATTTAAACCTAATCACAAGATGTGTATAACATATGATTCTTAAATAATTTGAATGAATGTCTCTTATTAAAAACTTGTGCCTTCTAAGATGAGTTAATGGAATTTGTTGCCAATCACCATGTGTATTTGATAGTTTTACAATTTCACTGTTATGCCAAATATTTTAATTTTGATTTCAATTTTCTTTCTTCAAAACATTAAGATTACTGATTTTGAGAAAATCAATAATAAATAATAATAAATTAGCAGTAAATTTCATCTTTATTTTCCCCAATGTTTTAGTTTCTTAAAACAAAGAAAAACTGAAAACTATATATATATATATATATATATATATATATATATTAATGACTAAAAAACAAGTAAAATAATATTCTACTTTAATGTGATCTATAAACATCAAAGTTTGTTTGATTTACAACAAATCTACCAATCAACCATCTAAATTACAATATTTTAAAGATTTCACAATGCAATGTATTCTTAGTTCAAGAGAGAGGTGGTGTCTGAGTAGGGAGCAGATGTTAATTAGTACTTCAGATACAAAGTCTCATCGTGTGGAGGGGATAGAGAAGGCCAATAAAAATTCCTTATCCCATATCCAGCCTAGTCAGAAATGAAGACGATGTACAAGACAATCTATGGTAATACTTTTATTTCTTAAGAACATGAATATACCAACAATATTTTTTTTCCAAAAGGCACCTCGATTAATACATTCCATAGCACAAAACATTAAATAGTTTTGGTGTTCGTGAGTGCCCTCACTCTATCCCTCGAACAAAGCTGGAATATGAGATTTTCAGCAGCTATTTTGAGAGCCTTTGAAACTTGGCTAACAAAAAGTAGTATATTTGTTTTAGACCCTAATATGAAAAGATGAAATGGAATGCAATATTTTCTTCTTTTAAATATAAAGCCAACTTAAAGAGATTTCAACCAATCAAAACATTTAAAATTTAAGTTCTCTCACCTTGTCCCACAAGAATAAAGTGGTCCTAAATTTCTATTGTCATACACATCCCACGAAGAATCTATCTTTTGATAGACACATTCATAGGATTTGACTTGGCAAAAATGCCATGTCAAGAAGATTCTTCATCCTAAATCTATTCTTTCATAATAAGCTCTTATTCTAAGTCAATTAATTTTTGGCATTTTAAATTGAATTTTATGTTTCTTGACAAACATAAAACACATATGCTACATTCATTTACTAAAAGAAAAAAAATGATTCTTATAATCAAGTTCACATTAAGAAGCCTCTTTTGATTGACTTATATATATAAAAAAAATCAATTAAGAAGATATGAAAATAGTAAATGAGGTGGAATGCATTTTTTTTCTATATGGCATGAATAGTGTTGTTTCTTAGAATTTATATTAAGATTTTTTATACCTAGAAGACTATGGTACAAAATCCTCACAAAGGTCTTCTACTTAATAAAACAAACTCTCTTTTCGAAGCATTAAGCTTTGAAAATAGTATAGAGAAAATAAATACTAAATTATCTTTTCTAATTATTTTAGATAGAAGATCTTAATTATTTATTCTAAAATTAGAAAAATATTTTAAATATATATTTTAGAAAATTTAAAATAATTTTTTAAATTTTAATAGAAACCACTTCTTGAGATGGATTTGTTGCACATTTATGGGACAACATTGTTTATGCCAACCTCACAATGTCTAGTTTTTCTTCCTATAATATAGTTGATTTTCTCAAGAATAAATTCAATCAAGAGAGGCTTCTAAACTTTAATCAATCACAAGTTATAAAAGTTGTGGCTTCTTGCCTTCTCCATAAGCATAAAAGATCTCCTTCGATCCACCTCTAGAGGCGGTTTTCACTGAAATTTATAAAGTTGGATTAGAAATTTCTTAAAACATGTATAATATCTTAAATTTAATAATATTATCATGATAATTAGAATCAAAATACAATTTGGCACATGTCCTTAACTTGTCCTACTTTTTACTATCTCCAAAAAGTAAACTCTTTTCAAAAAATGATTTTTATTCGCCAAGGGAGCAATCTTCACAAGACTTTTGGACCATGATTTTCAAAGTGAGCCTCTAGTTATTGAATGACACCCTTATGCAACATCTAACTGGGATGGTGGCAGGCATGATGAACTAAAAAAGTGTTTTTAGACTCATATGCAAAAGGGTCATATCCTCCAGAGCTGTCATTATTCTGAGACAGGTACTTCCACGTAACTGGCAGCCTTTGTGGGGTTTGCATATTATATGCTTCACATGAATCAGTCCAGAGTCCTTATCCTTCCTGAACTCCCACGTCCTGATTCTTTGTGACTTTTTCATTGTTACATTGTTGCTCTTTTGCTCATGACTCTTGCAGAATATTCAAATTTCAGTCAGTATTATGATAGTGTATATATATATATATATACACACACATATTTTCACTACCCAGGTTAGGTATCAACAGAGAAGGCTAGTTGCTTGACTGGGAGTTTGAAATTATTCTGCAGCCATCTACCACTGCCTTTAAAAGGAAGATTTTCTTTCAGCCATATGTGTAAAATAAATTCAAATGTCCAACACCTTGGTTCTGCAGGTCTTGTTTCTTAAGGCCCATTAGCACATCATAACATCACCATCAAGAATGTTGTTCAGGTATGAATTCATTTCTCTTTCTGATCATTGTGTTGGCAGTCCCATGATAGTAACTAGTTCCACCTGTAATTGGAATTGCACAATTGACATCAATCCAACAACTTGGTTGTTATTAATCCAGCATATTTATCATTGATGGGCTAAATTTGTCTACTATCAGTCCAGCGGTGGGTTTAATCTTCTTCCAGATACAAATCTCACTGCCATGAATTTGATGATGTATGAGTGTTTGCTGCGGACACATAACCTCCCACGAGGATCCAAAGCACTCAAAAAGCAGCAACAGCAACGCCAGGAATCAGCAATACAACAGGAGACTTCGATCCTATCCTCTATCTCATCACCTCCACCACAACATCTAAAACCTCAACCTCGATCACAACTAAACTCATTCTCCATTGCTTCCTTGACAGGAACAACCACCGGTCGAACTTTAACTATCGCCATAACAACAGCTACTTCTACAACACCACATTAACCTAAAGCCATCTAGAGCTAAGCAGCGGCAGAAATAATCCCAGGTTGAGCTCTCTTGTCCTCATCGCCACTAATAGAAGAGCGAAGGCTCCTGCGCTGGGAAGATGGCAGGTTGGGATCTAAGAGATGACATGGAGGCACTACTCAACGAGGATTTAAAGGACTTTTATGCCCAACTCACCTGTTACATCCTGTAAAGCTTGCTAACACACCACTGTTCGGTCATTGGGCAAAAGTATATTAGCCGGTGTTTGGCCTTCGTTGCCAGTGTATCCACTTTCCTTGGAATACTCAAGCAATCTGGTTTACAAAGATGGGTAAACTTCTTGAGCATTTTACAATCTATTTACAGATTCGAGATATCAGTAACATACCGAAAACTAATAATTTATATTCCCTTCAGTTCTAACTGTTGTCAAAGTCGATTCACTGCTGTGTAGAATTCACATCTGAATTATTTACATCCGAGTGATATGCTTTGCTTCCAGTCGTATGGACCAGATTTCAGGATACTTGGCAGAAACATTCGATAAATACAAGAACATGAATTTGCAATGGAAATAATTTATGATCCTCAGTTATAATTTACACAATTGATCGAACTCATGCTATGTACACAAAAAAATCTAGGAGCATTGAACATTGTCCTCGTTTCCATCACCCCCTGCAAACTCCATCAGCTCCACCACATCCTTGTTCGAAGATTTGTTGTGCCATCGTCCCCACAAGTAGCCCAGAAACTGCCTGTGCTGAGATCCACCTCGCTTATCCCCTACATGTGTATGATTTACGAAGTCGTCCTCATATACCTGCAGAAAAATACAATCAACATCACGTTAACAGCCGCATTCTTCGAGGGGAAAAAATCTACGACATTTTCAGGTCACTTTGAAAGCCAAATTTGGCTACCGTTCTTGAAATATGACTCGAGGTCACTGGCTTTCAGAGTGACCTGAAAATAAAACATTGCAATCATTTTGAGTCACAAACAAGCAGGTTCTGCATCTCTTGGAATGCGACAGTGAAAGCCCTAAAAGAAATCCTGTTCAAGTTACTCCTCCGCAGAAGCATATAACCCGCATTTTCTTTACAACTTGTATAAAAATTTCATGAGAGAATAACCTTTATGGGGTTGACGCGTTTCCAATTATTCTGCTGAAACTGAGTGTGGGCCGACTGGAAGTACAATCCCTCCCAGTTACCAATCCCACCTAGATTCTCCACGCCATGAAATGTGTTGGACACAGATTCCATTTCTTCTGCTGACTGCGGAAGATTGAGCTCCTCCACGAACAGGCTAACATCTGTCACAGGGCTTTCGGTGTCTGTGGTGACTTTAATCTCAGGCTTCCTACACATGCTGCAGCACCATTTGAGTCCGGACTTTTGGGCCGGCTTGATCTGCACAGGAAGAGGGATTGGTCAATCTCGCTGCGCATGAATCTCCTGAAAAAACGAAGCAAACAAAATGTGCTAAATGCCGCAATCTGCCCGGCACTTCATGACTAGAAAATATATTTCACGATATTGAACGATGTTCATATTTTACTGTCAGCAAGAACCCTCTCGCTGAGAAGCACGGCTCATGCAAATGCCAAACTTCAAAAACTTTGTCACGAACCTGCAGCACGGAGCACTTATGGCATTGCACAGGAAGAAAACGCGGCATGATGTCACCAACACTCCCTTCACATGCACATTCACAGCCCGACCTCTACCCCAGCTTCTCTGCCTCCTCTTACTCTTCACTCCAACCTCCCAACGCTGAGCTCGACTATCACAAAACGCCGCTTCATCCAGGAAGCTCGCCAGCTCTCTCACATCCACGCACAAACGCTACTCATGTCGTAATACTTAGTTGCAAGTCCCGACTTGCAGAGTAAACAAAACAGGAAGTCAGTAGAGATACCCAACTCATGTATTGGGCATCCAAACAGGAACAACCCCACAAATTCGACAATCGCTCACAACAGAGCCCTCACATAGAAGAATCCCCAACAACTGCTACTCCGTTCTATTTAGCAGCGTCCTCGCCACTTCATGCCGCTTTCTCCAACCCAAAAGCTCAAAAAGCACTCAGGACACGCAAGAGGGATAGTGGGGCTTCTGACATTGCAGATCCTAATTGAAAGCCCTCATAACTGAGCTAAAGGGATGAAGGCGGGGTGCCGGCGCCACCAGCCGCATCAGAACAAAGTAAGATTCTTCTCCACATCCGAGTAAAAACTCAGGAATAGCAAATAATTAGGGGCTGTGAAACGCGACGATGGGATTCAACCTCCGCTGCACGTGCGACTCCTCTCTGAAGTCGCGAGGGTGAATGATTCAAGGGTGGCCCATACTGGCGTGGCTGCGATCATTCGACGATGCGGATAACAAGTTGGGAGTTGCCGATTCACGTCATGAAAAAAAATAGAAATAAAAAACACCAAAAAAAACACAAAAAAAAACACAAAAAAACAAAAAATCGCACAGCCAGACGGCAAAGAAGGGATTGTTTGATTGATGGATCGATGGAGCGATCGATTCCAGGGGGGATACTCACAGGGCGCCGTTTGTAGCACCAAGTGTGCGTCATCGCGGCACTGATCACGAGAGGAGGAGGAGGAGAAATCGCTTGCTTGCTTGATTGCTTGCTACAGGGCATGGAACATGACGACCATGGGCGCCACTCTCCGGCTGTTCAAAGGAGTTGGGTACCAGTTTCCTCGCTGCTTATTCCGATTGCGCAGCTTATTTTTATCTCGCCCCGACGGCATTTCCTGATCTCCCAATTCCCGCTCGCATCCATTCCTCTTCGCTTCTGGACGCCGCCGCCGCCGCCGACGCCGCGATCAGCGTGGCCTGCGGCGTTCGTGCTTAGAGAGTAGTCTGACATAGCCAGTTACTAATCATGCTTGATTAGTGAGTCTTTTTCTGTGGCAGTTACTAAGTCTGTCTATCACGTTGACGCTAAGTTGAGTTTAGTGTTTATTGAATAAATTTTGTGGAAATCTTTAGTATGTTTGGGGACTTGCGCTGATCATGGAGTGTAATATTTTTTTAATATTATAATTTGATGAGTTTTATTTAGTGTCTTTTTTTTTAAAGATTGGGTCAGAGAATTAGGAGGGAGGTTAATTCTCCAAACCATGACGGTTCCAAAGTAAACTGAACCAGATTTTGTTCAATATCTTTTATTAAATATGCTGGATTTCAAGATGAATTTTAGTTAACTATGCTAAATTTCATTCTTGTTGTTTGTTTGCTGTAGGTTTAGGGTTTTGGAATTGGTCAAATTTTAAACAGACTGAGAATATTGCTCATGGTGAACTTTCTTATTGTTTAGATATTATTCAAGTATATCACACTATCATGTGAATACCTGTGAATAGAGTAATTGATTTGTTAGCAAACATGACTACTTTATACCTTGTCATGTGACACAAATGATGATGAGCAATAAATGAATTTAGAAATAATGTGCATAACTTTTTTTCCAAAATAAACTACATAACAAAGTATGAAAAATGTAAGACACTAAAAACTTCAGTTGTCAAAACAATGACACTCACAAAAGAATTATTATAAATACGTGTGTTATGATTCTTCAAGTCAAGTTTTTGTTATATAATAGTTTTATAATGATATCAACTTTACATTCTTTATTATCTTTATGTTTAACAAGTAAATAGTTCATATTCATATATTCAAAAATTTAGTCTTGAAGTAATTTTAAAATAGATACATATACACATATATATCTTCAAATTATTTTTTATCATTTAAAAAATAATTAATTACTAAAATTAAATTATTTTGATAAAATAATAGTTATAAAATTATCTAAAATAATGTATTTATTACAGTAATTAACTAAAAAATTTAAAATATAATAATATAATTTTTATAATAATTAAAATATCATAACTAAGAACTTTTTGAAATAAATGTATAAAATAACAATTGATAAAAAATGGCTATTTAAGCTAAAATTTCTAAATCCTAAACCTTAAACCTCAAAAATATATATTCGAAAATTTTAAGGTTAATTAAGACGTTTAAGATCTTATTTTTCTTAAATGTTTCTAAGCCATTATTTGTTTATCTTCATGCAAGTTCTTTGTTTTGTGTTGATCAAAATTTCATGTATTAATTATTTATATTAGAATTTGATTAAGATTATATTTAAAAGTTAGTTTGATATATAGTCTTAAATAGGAAATCAAAAGAATTGATATTTAGATATTTGAGCTATTATTATTTATAATAAATCAATTAAGATTATAATATTTTGATTAAAATTTAGTTAAAATTAAGATTGAAAATGTAATTTTAACTAAATTATCAAATTTAAACTATAGGATTTAGGATTAAAACTTTGATTAAGTTCAAAATTTAGAATTGTGTTTTTACATTAGATTAAAGTAGGACATGGAAACCTGAAATTTAAATAAAAACAAGATATTGATTAGTTAGGTATATAAAGAATTTGTATATAGGCAACAATATATAGCCAAATTGAAATATATTCCTAATTAGCCTTATGTACATATCCAATATGTATATTAATAATTGCACCAAAAATATATATAATATATTCCTTATGTTTATTGATATTCATATTTCCATTTTTTTATTATTATTATTTCATTCATAAAATATAATGGATCATAATTTTTTCATTTTTTATTTGATTCCATTACCATCTTAATTAGTATTTCTACAAATCTTATTACATTGTATAATGTGTGGTATTTTACCAACTTATACTTAAACAAAAGGATTTTCTTAGATATTTACCATACAAGTGGTTTAAAAATTATATATCTCTTGGCCTCAAGCACAAATTTATCTTACATTTGGTTTGTTTGTTCTTATTGTAACTATAGTTATAGCTTCTATTAACTACATATTTTTCCAAAGTAGTGATCATTTTTTATACATAGTTTCATAATTGTGTCTTATTTAACTAAATTTTTTTGTTGTATTACCTACTTGAAGCTAAGTGCATCATTTATTTACATCCACATGCAAATTCCAACATAATTTGGTGTCTTACATGATGATTTTTTCTAATTTTTGTTGCTTTGCACCACTCTAATTTATTATCTTTAACATTTGCCAACCACTAATTTAGTAGCATCTATTATAAAAATAAAAAATAAAAAACTTTAACTTTAAATATAAATTCATGCAAAGTTTTAAAATTTAATTTATGTTTTAAAGAAAGAAACAAGAATGTAAAATTACTCTTTTAAGGACAATTACTCCAAAAATAATAATTAAAATCTACAATTTAAATTAATAGAATTTTATAAGATGTTTATGATTAAAATCTTAATGAATAAGTTTACTTTAATTGCTTAAATTTTATTTAATAGAAATAAACAATATATAACATGTCGGTCATTTGATGTCTCAAAGTACTTTAAATTTAAATTTTGTAATCAAAAAGAATAATGATTATAATAATATCGTAGTACAGAAATCTTCTTCTACTTTCAAATTGTTAGATAAATTATACTTAGTCACTGATAATTGGCAATTAGAAACCAACCATTACATTATAAGATACAGATGTTTTAATTATTTTATTTTATTTAGAACATAATTTATTTCCTGAATAAAGTAACATCCATATGCAAATAATAGTTTGTCATATCTTGCAACAAAGCATAATACATATCTAAAATCCAAAACTATAAATTGTAATGTGCATTAACTTTTGGCCTTTGAGTAACGGACAACGAATATCATTAGAACTTCATCCAAGTACCAGATTTTAGATTCTACCATGAAGCCTATTGTAAAAGTGAAAGAAAAGAATTAGATAAGCTCCGCATGATAAAGTGCAAAGTGGGTTTTACAGAAAAGCTAATGGATGCCTTTGTTGAGCTACATAAATACACATGAAGTAGTACTTTTACTCGACTCCAACAGTTCCTTCTACTTTACTCTTTTACGACAAAACAAACTCTGTCCAGCAATGACAGGGAGTTACAAGGAAGCAGCAGATGAGCACATGTTGAGTATTTTGGACCTAAATGCAGTTTAAAGAAGGCGGGTGAAATTCCTCAAGCGTAGAACCCCTCACCAAACTAGTTCTAGGCAGGTTCACAAATGGATTACCAACTAAAAGGTTATCTTTGACGTGGTATAGAAAAATGAACTGATGCATTAAGCATCTGGCTACCTCTCAAACAGCATAACCATTTCACAATGTTTTGTATGCGGAAAAAGATCCACTGCACAAGCTTTAACAGGACGAAAAGGCTCAGATGGTGGCAGCGTCTTAACTCTGCGTCGAGCATGTCCTAGGTTTGATCCTCTGAACCCTCCCCTCTGCTTCTGCTTCTCAACAGGGCCTTCCTTTATAGGCATGCACAATTCTACAGCATTGGCCAGCAAGCTATCAGGATTGCAAGAAATGTACCTGAAATTTACATGTTAGGTGCAGTGAACAGTTAGTATGAAAAATACATGCACTTGGGAATATTCATATTTAATTGTCAAGGGCAAATTTCAAGCCAGTGGCTTCAACTCAAATTGAAGGGAAAATCAAACCAATCAAACCAATACAACGCCACTCATGTTACAATTCAAACGCAGATTCAATAAAAACCGTTCCAAAAAAATCACATAATGATCGTTATGCTTATGAGTGCATCGGTGGCATTGGAGGTTATAACAATATCAGGCACAACTGTAAGCACCAGCAATTAAAAGAACAATTATCAAGATAAAGCACTTACACGAGTCGTCTGAGCTGCTTGTGTAACCTTAATGTTCTCAAGACCTGCGCATAACCAAAGCCAACACTCAATTAAAGTTGACTACAGACTACGCAAAGAACAGATGCTATCTTCTAGCTGTGAATTCATCTACTTTGAACTAATAAACAATGTTAAGACACGTCGCATTTTCTGCGTAGTTTAGACAACAGGTAGGATCCGCAACTAGAGCTTATCACATCTACCTGTAATCGAACGATCCACGCTGTTAATAACTGTTTCACTACGATATTAGATGCAGAAAGTGTGAATAGCATGTTACTTGCGAAGTATGCTTGTATTTCAATTGAAATCTCTTGGAAACAGCAACTTTACTTACCACATGATGCAGTCCTACGCGGGGTGGATCAACTATAGCTACAATATTATTGAATCGGGGTCTGGAGTCCCCGTTCTGCTGATTGGCGGGACTAACTAAGGTCGATACTTGTTCCTCATTGCTTGCTTCACTTTTACCAGTTTCAGGTTCAGAAGCTTTCTGAGAAACAGGACCATCAATGGCATACTCCCTCAACAAGTTACCAATGACGTCTTCAGCCTGCATATGATATTTAAAAATTGCTGATCAAAATCCTTATGTCATGAAATACACTATGTCGCATTGTCACATTGTCACTTGATTATAAATTGTCAGTAATAATACTACTATTAAAATTCATCGACTAATAATGTGAACAAAACACGAACGAAAAACACTACCACAGCAACTGGTGCTTTATGTCGCAAATACCTTGCCAGCAATGAACCGGCAATTTGTGATACCGTTCAAATCTGCATTAAGCTGTGCATCAGCAACTGCTGAAGCATTCATCTCGATACCAACCACCTAAAGATGAACAAAAGCAATGAAATGATGATGTCAATGACGCAAATTGGAAGAGAAATATAAAACGCAGTACACCATTACTAATCAGCACAAGTCGTCATTCAACCTCGTGAATGACAAAATGAGTCGAGAGGAATCAAAAGGGAATGTTGCATACCATACCAACTCGTTTGGCAAGCGTCAGCCCAATGGCACCAGTCCCACAACACACATCAAATAGCAAAGTGTCTGGACCAAGCCCAGCCCAAACGCCAGCGAGAGAATAAAGTTTCTCCGCACCAGCTGAATTAACCTGCCATAAAAATTGGTACAAGTACTTTTCATCGCACGCCTAGAATACCACACAACAGAAAATCCAAGGAACCAAACCAATAACTTCTCATAAAACTTCCACATGCATATGAAATTTAGTAAGGTCAAGAAAAAGATATCAGAATCACAGCTCATTTTTGCATACACCATTACTTGCAAAAATGAAACTAACCTGCAAAATCCAAATCCAATGGATTCTTCTCTCATGAGGATCGAAACAAAACCGATCATACCTGAAAAAACGCTGTTGGTGATATTCTGAATTTTGAGAGACCGATATAGTCATGGATATGACCCAACACCTCATCGACGGGCTTTCCTGTATTGCGGATCTCGTCCAATCCAGGTAATGGCAAAGCACGCAAAGGACAATCTGCAGGAGCAGAATTTGAAACTCCCACGTGTTCCTGGAAGGTCATCAAGAAAAATTTAGACACTACATAGGATAAACCATGATCAGTATTTTAAAGTAAAATTTCTCATGCTAATAGCCAAAACTGGAGAACGACACTTGGAGCATTCACAGCCTTACAAGAAAGCACCCCTCTATTTCTATAATAACCGCATCTTGCCAATCCTTATTGCCACAAAATCTACAGGCCTCTTACAAACATGGTTTCAACACTGTATCTGTCTAGGGTGGAGGGCCTGCAAGGAAGTCAGGCCACTGCCACAACGCTGGCGGTGCTTTATATCAGTTACATGTTATCTAGCCCTGAATATTCAGTACACGACATGACCATTTAATATAGAACCGAAAGGACTTCAGGATCGTCCTCAAACACAGCACAACCCAAAAAAGAACAGTTACCTGAACAAGAAGTGCAGTCAAGGGTAATTGAGGGGTTGCAGTCGTTGCAGCCTCAATAAGCACTTCAGCCATTTTTGAGTACTCTTCTGTAGCTCGGTCTTCTGGAACTCCTGTAGGACACACCTGCGAACAGAAATAGACGAATGAATACATAAACTATCAGTTTAATCAAACGCTTAAAAGTATATACTGTCCAATTTACATTTCTATATTTCTAACTGCTAAGAGCTCACCAAAACCTTCACTACAGGCTTTCAGCTCCTCTCGATCTAACTTCTTCACTAATTTCGATCTTTTGAGAGATCCCTCAGGAATCGTCACCATACCAATAAGAATGGAGGTAATACCTGTACTATAAGCATAACTTCAGCTATCTCCTTGCCAATTTCATCTGCGGAACCAGGTTCCCGACCCTCCCTGATCTGCGCGCAGAACCAGTGCATTGTCAAACATTATTGATATCACGTGACCAGCGGCAACAAGAACTGCATTTCCTTGTAAACATGACGTTCAGAGTCTTGCGTCAACATAAAAGTATAAAAACTTTCGTGAAATGACTATCATAAATTATTTAAGACGAAAAGAATTGTTTCTCTAGAGCATGCAGTATACTTCCTTCCATTAAAATCTTGTAAACGAGTGCCACGCATGTGCATGTCACACCCCTTCAGAAAGAAGTTAAAAACTGTTACAATAGAACCAAAAAGCGCAAGGAGCTTACGGTGAGCATACGCCAGAAACCAGTATTATCTTTTTTATCCCAGACAGGAAGCTTTGATGCCCGTATGAATGTTTGAAATGCTGCTACAAAATTTAATGCAACAGATGACACGTTGCGGCATTCTCCTGGTTCTGCAATTGCATTGATACCCTCTCTGTTTCATCTAAAAATATTAATCAATTTTTGGTCCTTGAATGAATAACTATACATACAAGAAATATTAAAATTGAAGATGAAAGAGCAGTGAGATATCCGAGTCCTAGATTTCAAAACCGTGCAATTCTAGTGCGAGATGCGCACGATGTCTCTGCAATCAAATGTTTTAATGTTTAACAACATGCATGAGTTGGTTAAACCGAAGCTGACCTGAATGAACCAAGCTGAAAGCCAACAACACGCTGCTTTCCATCCGGTCCTAACCCAATGGCGAATTCGCATTTGTTGCGATAACCATCCACAACAGGGGATGGCAATATCCCTTCAAACTCGCAAGGTAAGCCCTCTGCACTAATCCAACATTACCTTTCATATATTGGACAGACTTCCAACTTAACACCATCAATCAAGCCAGACAACCAATGGAACAAAACACATACCACGATCCTTCGCAGCAGCCAGCCAGTCAGGTAAAAGCATTCCGCTTGGGCATCCTTTTCTAATATTTCGGGCCTGCAATGACAAAGGGGTAATTCAAACATCATCAGTCGAGAAACAAAATCCTCTCTTTTCAACAACAAGTTTTCGAAATTATTGACGAGCATAATGTAATCTTACTGAGACATATACAAGCGCAATCGGAACAAGGATGAATACGATAAGATGTCGCACACCTCACAAGGACGAGATCAAAAAGAAGGAAACATGACTAGATATGTTACTACTTAAATCAAGCCAAGACGACCCTAAAACTGCGCAAGGACATCGTATGAATACTCACAAGGCGCTTGAGAACTTGAATAATCTCTTCTTTCTTTTTAGCCAGCTGATCTTCATAACTTAAGTGTGCAAGGGGAGTCACCACTTGAGTCACGCTCCTGTAAGGTTCTAAGGCTTTGTTCTCGTTGTCATCTTCTTTTCCATCATTCTCATTTCCTGAGCCATCCTCGGCCATTACAGTGTCAGCCCCATCATTATCCTTCTCCTCTTTGTCACCGGCAAGAGCTGCTTCTGTTACTCCGATGGCCTTTCGCTCCCATTCACGAGGCAATACATCTGCAAGCTTCAACCTCTTGTTCGCTACAGGCATCCCATCCAAGATCTGTCCAGATCGGAAGACAATGTGAATGCAAAAAATTAACAGAATGATAATTTCATGCGATCATTAACTCACAAGCCATGGTAATTGTTGCCGAAAAAAAAATAATAATGATAAAATAAATAAATAAAAGCTGAAATGAACTGCCTAAACAAAATAGTTTTTAGACGGTCAAGAATCGTTGGTAGACCGTAAAACCACCATTTTCTAAAATAAGAAAATTGAGGTTCGCATTTAGGATCTGCTAAAGAAATAATCCATATATATATATATATATAGTAAAGGGGGTGGGGGTGGGGGTGGGAGGGCGAGAGGAGGCCATAAGTCAGGCATGCAATGGTGACACTGGAATCTGCAGTCAAGTGTCCATACCTCGGCAGATTTTGTGAGTTCCTCTTGATTACGAAAGCCTAGAAAGCCGACCTTCATGGACTTTCTCTTCTGTGCGCTCGAATACGTTACACCCTGCGGGCATTTCAAAAAACCCTTGGCAAGTTAATGACACACCCCACAAGCACCGGGCAAAAGAATAATTTCTGCATATTCTTGGAAGCCTCAGAAAACACCAGCAACATAATGGGAAACCGCACGCTTTCACGGCTTCATATTAAGAACACTTGTAGTGATCACATTTGAAGATTGCCACTTCACTCGTAAAGGCTGCATGATTACGTTGTAACGCACAACTAGAGCAACAAATTCTCGTAATGTCGAGTACAAATGTGCTCACTCACCTTTTCGTCAAGGAAGGACTTCAATTTTTGCTGACTCCAGTTCATCGGGATATTCACAAGACATTTCCGATATCGACTTTCCTCAGAAGACTGCTCTTCAGTGCTCACCTTGTCCTCTTTCTTTTTGCCCCTCTCAGAAGTTGGGTCCCAGGATCCATCAGGTCGTTGCTGCAGCTCACTCTCTCCATGAGCAAATTTACAGTTCTCCCCATGATTACACCCTTTCTTACGAAAATAAGAGCACAGGCTCGTTTTCGCTATCGCAGGATTGGCAGGAGGTTTATCAGCTACATCCCCGTCATCCTTCGCTGCGCTGTCCACGACCTCGTCCACCTTCACAACCTCGTCGTCATCAGCAGCAGACTCCACCGATTGGGACTCGTCCGCCACTACGGGACTCACGGCAGCTTGCTGCAGCAGGTCTTCGGGGGGCAGCGCCTTCCCCTTCCCATCGACCCCTGCGGCTGTCGAAACAGCATCCTCGGGCTTCAATGGCACAGGCAACTCAACTACGGCACTCTTGGGCTCAAACCCCATCGGCTCACCAACCGGCACCTTGAGCGGCTCCTCCACAACCCGGTCTTCAGCTGTTCCGGTGTTGTTCTGCGACGCAATCGCACAAAACGATTCGAGTTGATGCATGGTGGCGGAAATCTTCAATCCATCACGTCCACCCTTCACAACACAACATTTAGCACCGCGACAAGACGCTTGTCAATACTCTCCGATTCCCCGACCCCCAAACCCTAAAACCTCGACTTCGATGATAGATGAATGTTGTCCGCGCTCTGTCGACTTTTGCAGTAGAAGCTTCATCTTCTGTTCATTGTCTTCATCCTCCTTTCCCTTTTATCTTTTTCTGTTTCCTTTACCTTTTTTGGAAATAAAGGAATCCTACTATCATATGATTTTTTTTTTTTTTTTTTTTTTTTTTCTACTGGAGCTTGCCAGTTCAAACGTTCATAGGTCCAGACCTAATAATTTAAAAAATTCAATAGTCAAAAGGTTGGTAGAATTTTGTAGCGACCTGCACATTCAGCTCAATAATAAATTTAATAGTATTCTCCTTAAGTTATGAAACCGAAATGATGTCATGATTTTCAAAAATATAATTATTTTGTCGCAATAGAATAAATTAAGAGATATACACACATACATACACATATAAAAACAATTATCACAAGCTTGGGATTTTTTTTAAAATACACTTGTTATTTATTTCTATAATAATAAGAATTATTACTACGATTATTATTTTGAAGTATTACATTACAATATTTTATGAAAATATCAGTGATATCACTCAAAAATTATTGTCATATCTCATCCAAGTGTTTGTTAATGCAAAAACTAAGTTAGCAACAACTTATTGGCAAGAATTTGTTTTTTGCTCTGAATCTTATAAAAGTTAAAAACTCATGGTTTCAAAAAAAATTAAAACTTCTACAATGAATATATCAATATAAAAAAGTATAGAATATTTTGTCATTTTAAGCTCTTAGTATGTATGTATGTATGTTATACATATATATACGTACATGTATATACATGCAGACAGACAAGAATATGATTACAACAAAGCTGCAAAGAATAGCATTGGATACTTATTTTCAAGTTCGAAAAAAAAACAACAAAAAATAAATAAATAAATAAATTAATTAATTAAACGTAGGATCAAATAAAATTTAAACATATATATATATATATATTTCTGTTTTTATTATTTTATGCGGCCAAGAAAAACCTAGAAGAAAGAATGAGCTTAAAAATCAATAAATTATGAAAAAAAAAAAACCCATTGTTATTTTAACATGATACAATCTAAAGTCAATGTATTTTTATTTTAAAAAATACGAAATCTCATAATATATTTCTTTATTCGTTTCAATTATTTAATGAATCTCCACTTGCACTTACAAAAAGGCGACATTGTAAGATACCAAATTCCAAGTTAGTTTACAATCCATAACAATCGAATGTGTTGGTTGAATGGTAGCATCAGCACAGCTACCGACAGATCCGCAACAGTTGTGGGAATGCGACAAGGCCACCCAAAAGTTGCGGAGGAGACCGACCACATGGGGATGATAGGAGGAGAAGGGACACGGCCAGGATCTCTCGGCGCACCACGGCCACGTCTTCAACGGAGAAAGAGTGGGAGGGAGGGCTGCTGCAACCCAAATTGTTTTGTTTTTTTGCTGGGTTTGTGATCTTTTTCTTCCTTGAGAGGTGTTTTCAAACTCGCGGGAAGTTTGGGTTTGGGTCCGTTGTTGCTTACAATGCTTCACGCGGTGGCTTGGGAGTCTCTTCACCGTAGCTCTACTACCGCCTGCTGCCGTGCCTGGTATGTAATGCTTCGCTTTCTTGTAGATTGGGTCGGGCTGGTTTGAAATGGCTCTCGGGGTTAGTGTGTGATCGTTTTGGTTTTCGTAGGTGGGATTTTGGATTTTGAATGTAGCTCGAAATTTTCCCTTGTTATTCATTGTTTTTCTACGGCTGTTGGGCTCGGGATTTCATTTCTGAAGATTGAGTGTGGACGGCTGGTCAGGAATGCGGTTGATGGAGATGGAATGAGAGAATTTGGAGATTTTTATTTTATTTTGCACACTCCAAAGTTTGTCTTCTTGTTAGGTGCTGAGCTCAGAGGTAACGATCAGTTTGTGTGCTTTTTGTGACTTTGTGAACCTTTCTGTGCAATTCTCTTTAGGGGGAGCGATGCGTCGTCATCCAGGCCGGAGTTCTTTTCAGGGAAGAGTGATTTAAGACTGAACAAGTTTGTACGAATAAGAATGCCATCTATAAACAATGCAGCAACGAGAGGTTCCTCGGAGGCTTCAGCTGATTCTCAAAGAGGATATACGAATGCGTTCTGTGACCAGCCTTGTGCCTTGAGTTGCCCAGTGGATAGAGGCACGAATATGCAACGATGGGTGGAAGAAGCTGTGCATGATGTGCGTCGTTTTCTTGCTTCACCTGTTTCTATCATATCTCGTATGTGCTTCAGTGCAACTGTCGTCAACATGATCACTCGAAGGTGCGAAGTTGTGGTCCTCATTGAAATTTGGAGCTCGCCTAATTTTGAATCGTCCATTGTGCAGATCGTAAAGAATATCCAAGAGGCGCCATTTCTGCAGTATGTTTTTGATTCCAAGGGCAGACTTGGCACATCACAGCGCCAAAAGATTTCGCAGGATGTTTTCGACAACGCTGAATACTGGCCTCCCATTCTAGAGTCCTTGTCCAAGGCTGCCCCGGATGGGGTTATTCTTGTTCAAAAGCTGGAACCCGGGTGCTCCTCCACTTCCTGTCTTGCAGAGGCGTTTCAGTGGGCCGATGATGAAGAGATGGTTTGCCCTCTCTTACCATATCAGCGTGCCGCAGAGACCAATGTGTGGGGAGTACTAGTACAAGCGAGAGCCGTTCATGCAAATGCTTGTTATCTCTTGAAGACTACGAGAGTACCCTCATCCGCCGGGATCTGCACCAGGTACTGCTTAACGAGAGCGAAGTGTTTTGGACCTTCGCATTTTGAGCAGCTTGAGAAGGCTTGGTTGCTGTAATCTCATCGACCTGCAGTAATTCCTGATAGTGGACGGAATCTTTGGGCCGTAATGGACTCTGGCGACCAATGCTTTCTTCACGAAATGTTGGTTGTGCAGGGCGACGTGTCTCCATGTATCCACGAGACCTTGAGAGTGCGTCCTCTCTGCAATTTGTATTTCTAGATTCCAGCATACACTCCAGCCAAATTGGCGTCCGAATTATTGGGCAGTGCCTTCGACCCGATGTACTATATTTGTAAGTTTTGAAACTGTTCATATCATCACTTACAGTTGGGTAATTAGGTCTCAACATCATGAGATCAATAACCAGAACCAAGAAATTTAAAAAGGGACAGAGGAGCTGAACAGTGCTACTTCTGTACCCTCATGAATACACCTTACTCGATTGTTGCTGAGGTGAACAATTGGGGATTTCCAAATGCAGGAGAATTTGTGATGCAAAGTTTCTACTACCTGCATTCGTGGTGATGGCTTGGAAGGCAAGATTTAGTAATGCGTTCTCTTGCTGCTGGATGACTCTAGGCAGTCTTGGCCCGTGAAATTGCACTGGCAGAATGGCATCATGTTTCGAGGATGCATTACACTCGATGAATGAAGACCACAGTGGTTGCTATTCATTCCATGTATTGTTCTAGTTCTGTATCTTGTTTACATGACCGTAACCAGACGCTGGCAGGGTTGCTAGCAACTCTGTCGCCCAAGATGAGCTCATCAGAGGCGCCTCGTTTATGCTTAACGGAAGCTATCCTCAACATTCTCAAGCAAGTCCATGGCAACTGATACTCAGCGCTGCAGCACGTTTACTGAAATTCCCACAAACGACGTCTGAGCGTATGCAGGAAGTAGAGACCTGTTGTGGATCCGAGGAATTTCTAACCAGATTACGTCTTGGAAACGACGTGTAATGTTCAAGTGGTACATGCCTTCGATCACTGCATTCACCCTTAAGATGATGATCAAGGACGAGATTACTGACTCCAGGACAAACCTCATGCTGTAGCTCATGACTAAGATCCTCAATTCAGACCCTCGCTCCAGCAGTTTGATTTCTACATAGTCGCTGATTGTTGGAATCACTGAGAGAAACACACTATCTCCGTCCCTTTGTGACAGTTGCTCGTCTTCAAAAAAATCAAACATATACATGAAAGAAAATGATATTCGAGAACTTAAACAACAAAGCAGACTACCTGTTAGATTTCGCCATAGCCCAACTCTCAAATTCAACGCCCATGGGGCTTGAGATTGTGAGTGAGGGACTTCATTAGCAAATTAACACCGTAGCAACCAGAAAACTCTTCTGCAGTTGTGGCTGTTCCGAAGGAATCCCATTTTCTTAGTCTTATCTCTCACAAATGCATGAATTCTACAAAAACATATATTTGGACATACTTGCTAGTGGAAACATGTGCTATTCAGTTTGAAAATAGCTCATGTGAACTTCAGTTTGATTTCTTATTTTTGAAACATGTGCTGTTTTGGAAACATCTTTCCAACTTCCTTATTAATATTTTCCTCCTTTATACAAAAATCTTTTATAATGTTGTAGTTGATAAAATCAAATTAGAAGACTTGTTTATTCTACAAGTAAAATCATTAAATATACTTGTATTATATTTCTTTAATACATAATTTAATATATTACCCTCCTTGAATTATTATTATTTAAATTAAAAGACTTGTTGTTTATAATTGAGTATTTTATTATTCATGTGACTTATTTCAATCAAAAACAAAATTTGAATGTTGCTAATGCTGCCACAACTTGCCATCCTTTAAATACCATTACAATTTATTTTTTTATTTTTTTATTTTTTTTTGTGTCAGCACAACTTGTTATCCTCTAAATATCATTACAATTTTTTCTTGTGCCACTACAAGGTGCCCTAAACTTGCGGTGTACACTATAATAGACTTTAAAAAATAGTGCTAATGGATAAAGCACACATTCTTTATGGATGGAAATTTCATTATTCCATAAAGTTCATTGAGGTATGCAACACAAGTTTAGAATAGCTTGTGGTGGCATTAGTAAAAACTATGATGGCATGTGCATTAAACAAGTTGTGATGGTAGTAACAAAAAATGTAGTAGCATGAACAACACTCTAAATTTGTAAGCTTATAATTCTATTGATTATGTCTAATAAATTTGCAATAGATTTTTTATTGAATCTATATATATATATATATATATAGATATATATAATATTATATTCATTATTATAGCCACTATTATTTACTTATTTTTATCATTATATTAATATTATTCATAGTTAAAATAAATCTTTGCTATATTATTTTTACAAATCATTTACTATAAATAATAGTCAAAGTATTTACGAAAGTAGAATTTACAAGATTATCTATTTTTTAAATACTTTTATTTTAAAATATCACAATTTTTAATTCTGGTATATTTCTTGGTACAAAATATCTATATTTCTTAAATATGTTTGTATATATATGTGCCATGACATCATTTGTTGAATATTAAATTATTTGTATTATTATTTTTATTTGATCTATTTATTGAATAATGTTTTGTATATTTTTTCAAATTTTTTACATTATTAGATGTCACACATATTAAATCTTATTTTTTATTATTCAAATCCATTTTCAATTGCTAAAACTTTACCATGTTCATTACATATTGGTATACTATCAAATTTGCAAATTGATTTTTTTTTTTTTTTTTTTTTTTTTTGGATTTCTATTAGATGGTTCTACAGTTGTTAAAAAAGTTGTTATAGATCTCTGATCATTTGCATCATAATTTTTTTTATATTAACATATTTTTATTTTGTCTTTGCTATAACTTGAATTCTAATTTAATATTTAATTTTATCATTCTTTAATATATAGGATTATTAATTGATATTTTTTAACTTACAATATATGTAAAAAATAGATAATCAATTTTGATACCCACTGTTACATACTGAACATTCTATCTCTGTTTGTTTTTGTAATATTCTCTATTTTACTTTGAATGTCTTTGAGTTCTAATTTTAAAAATTTACACATTAAGTATTAGATTCAAAGATGATGTCAACATATCTCTATTTTAACAATTTAAAATGAAATAGCATTAGCTCTTTTCGATGGTATATTTGACATAATCTTTTACAGATTTAACTCTGATGCATAAATACAATTCATTAAAGTCATTCATCTTACAAAGGGTCTTAAATAATAAATTTTTATTAAACTAAGCAATACACAAGGAATAGTCTACTCCAGTTCTTATTAGAAAAAACTTTATGTAAATTGGTATCATACCATTTATAATAAATAAATAAAATTGATAGATTGATCTTTAAATAAATTTCAAATATCTTTTGTATGTTTCAAATGGTTGTTGGATTATCATAAAATTTCAACTTAGTCAATTTGTTTAAAATTATCTGCAAAACAAATTATATGTCTATTAGCCTCAAAGGAATACTCAACACTCCAATGCACCCTATTTTTAAAAGCCATTTTAACATATAAAACTAAATTTATTTTTAAAATAATATTATCTATATTAGATTATTCAACTTAAATTAACATCTACTAAACCTAACAAAAGAATGTAATATTATCTATAAAAAGAAATAAAAACAATTTAATGTATTTTAAAATTCTAATATTTTTAGTTAAAAACCAATCAAAAAACATACATGTAACAAGTATAGTACTAGTTTAATGCACACAAAATAATGAAAATTAATAATAAAATAAAATAAAATATTCTTTGCAGATTCTAACTCATAAACATAAAAAGATACATGTTGATTGGACTTTATAATATCAATAATAAGTTTTTCTAAGTTTATAATAATTTTTAGTTTATCAAAGTGTAACAAGACTTCTTCTTTACTAAAATATATAAAAAATAGATTTTATTTTCAATACTTTTTAAAATAAAAATAGGATATTTAAATTTTTTTAATAAATATTGTATATTAAAATTTTATTCTGGTTTTGACAAGCCAAAATGCCCTTGTTGTTACAATTGCTATTCATCTGAGTTGCTGCTATAATCCTAACTACTATATGTTAAAATTGCTACTACTCTTAATAATGTTTTTGCTTCTACGAAGCCTAAATTAAACACAATTTTAAATATTCATTATTACAAAATCCAGATTATTGTATATTCATAAATAGTTTGAAGTTTATTTTTATCAATTTAACTAATGGATAGAAATACATAATTAAAATTTTATGATTTTAAAATACTATAGGTACGTACATAGACACAAATAAACACAAACTCAAATAATTTGACAAATAAAAAGTATGAAGTAATTTACAAGTCTCATGAAAATATGTTTTCTTTATACAATTAGTTGTTGACAATCTGTACATAACTATTACTCATAAGTTAAAGCATATTGTTGTATCCTTTATTGATTATTCTATCAATACGACCATAATAGAAATGGTTATTGGAAATATCGGATATTCGATCATCAACATTCAATTTCAACCTATTATAACAAAGCAAATAGATGCTTGGTCAAAAGAAATGTACAATATCTGCTTTCAGATAAGCTATCAAAAGTTCAAAGAATGATGATTCACACTTTGGTGTTATTGTTCTAATTTATAACAAAAACCGACAGTAAAAATGTTTCAAAAATTGTTTTGGGCAGTGTCTTTTTGAAGGAATAGAAAGGACCTGGTCACAAGTGACGTATGCCCTAAGCATGAGTGGATGATGAAGTGCATTTGATGGCTTACAGAAGTTTCCATTCCATCTCCTGCATCCTCAGTGGAACTTTACTTCCTAAAAGCTCACCTGAATACAGAAAACTCTTCCCTTCTTCCCACATATATTCAATGGAATCAGCCACAATGAAGCCACATTCTACGTTGTTGCAAAAAAGGAAACAGTTTTTGCAAGTGAATATAAAAAAAAAGCTACCTGCCTGGATATTCATCCAGATAGGTGGGATGTCGCTTTCAAGGAAAATATCCTTCTGAAGAGACAAATTCCTCACAAACGGCAAGTATTTCTACATCTTCCTGTACTTGACGCCTTGAATGGCACGACAGATTCCTGTTAGAAACAATCCACTTTTGCTCAAGAGTCGTGAGAAATAGGGATCTGCTTCAATCCAACCTGGCCAACGGGACATCAAACATACTTCAAATGAATCCTCATGTGGGTTTTACTCGGTGATCTGAATTGAGGCCTTTGTTGCGAACTATGACGCTTGGAATCTACATGGCAAAGCTAATTTTATTGAAAAGGTGGTGCTTACCTCCACTATGTTACTCTTACCACTCGTGGTGCCCAAGCAGACAAGGTTAACTACGAAAGAGGAGTTTTCGATGCAAGTAGATGTGCAGGCTTCTCCACTCATCATACAGTTTAGACACTTTCAATCTTGATAGAACTCCAATCACGTTGATCCTCTGTGACAAGCATCCTCAACCCTGCCAAACCCACATAGAGCCACTACACATCGATGTCGAATCAGCTCATCTTTGCGGTGACCATTACTGCAGTTATTAATCTAAACCTGCCTCTCTAACCCCTGAGGACGCTCACTCCTCGAACAACCACACGAATTCCATTACCTGAAGTACACTACGACAAATGTAACTGTTGAAACTCTTGGCTCAGCAAGCTACGATTACCCCAATTCCAAAACGGGTGAGGAATGACGCGGGAGTGTGTGACCAATTGCAAAGCTGTATTACCAAATGCATTTGAATCCTCCAACAGGTAGTAGGATTGCTTGAGAATTAAAGCGGCTCGTAAATGATTAGGTGCTAAGGTAATCGTTTTGCAAGTCCTAATATCAGTCTAGCAATTGATCTGGTAGACATACCCTTGTTTCTTTCTGATGGAATTTTAAAACGGATATAAAATTTAGGAATTAAAAAATTTACAAAATGACAGATTATCCATCTCATAGAGGATTTCATCTCATTCAACTTTTATGTTTTAGTCACTTTCCGTTCTGATGTTAATGTGAAGTGCAGAAGGCACGTTCCATGAATACCAGGATGCGTCCACAGTTTTATCTGATTTGAAGACTGAGCTTACAATTCGTTTGGAGAAGGGGATTGCAAACCTTCCATTTATGAGGCGGTAGCTATCCAAGCTATGACATCGACAAGAACGCGAACTAAAAACCACATGAACCATCCAAAAACACAATGCTTGAGTCAGAAATGTAAGCCGTACCTCAAAACTCAGTTTAAATGGTATGAAAAAACACACTATTCAAGAGTTTGTAATTGTCAAATATACATCAAAAGAATACACAACATAAATCGCAGCCCTACAAGTTTTAACAAATAAATGTACATAGCCTAAAACGCTCCAATAGCTTTGTGTGTCGTGGGCCCCAACTAGTTTGCTTTTCATCGCAAAAACTAGCGGCATAATCTCTGAAACCATTAGTAGCGGTATAACTCCCATGTCTGAGATGCGTAACCCATGACAAAAAATTCGTGTCTCTGACGAGCCTACGCAAACCAGCGGATAGTTGATCTGACAATGCTATATGTACAACGTTCCAGTTATACACAAAAACATTGCTGCATTATCATTCCTTGAGCAGATCCACAAATGGTCTCACGAGAGACTTCTCACAAGCGAAATTTAATGGCTGCGCCTCCCTAGAGACGCTTACACATGCATTGTTGTAAACCGCTCTTCATGCGACAGCTCAATCTCCTAGCGGACAACCCATCCGTCACTGCCGTTTCTCCACACTCTGTCCTTGCTAGTTACAAAATTGTTATGCTCGCACCTCAGGCCACGGAGCCAGAGGATGCTTGCACCCCTGCAATCAAACTCGAAAACAACCTCCTGATTTTCCTGAAACCTGAGCTTCGGAACAGATGATGCGGGCCGCACGAAAACTAGGAGCCTAAGTGGAGAGGTGAACCACCACCTGCGGCGCTCAAGTTCAACCCTGACGTTTTGGAAAATTCGCATCATCCAGAAGTATGTGTCCTACATCACCTTTAATACGATCCAACGCTCTGAACTGGTCCCAAAAATAATAGCTGAAAAAAGAATTACTGTACGCGTCCTAAATGACCCTCCTCAAGGTCCTTGTAGTAGCCTGGTACGTTCGGACCATTAAACCAATCCCGATGCCCGCACCTAAACACATGCCCAGACCGATTCCTACACCTACCCGAACTCCTGCGTTGAACCAAGTCATTTGTCCATCTTCTCCTTCTACACCATACACACCTGCATCTAACCCATAGCCTAAACTAGATGCGACTTTACCACGAACATCCATAAATGAAGTATTATCGTCGAGATCCATGTACGAGCTTCTCTCCGTCATCTGCAGTAAAGATGAATGAACAGCAACCATATCAGCATTCGGTTGCGCGAAACTGATGGAAGAAAAGCATTAAAAAAGCTTGCATGACGCCTCCAGACAGAACCAAAACGTAGGAAGAGCCAGTTAAAGTGAGGCCCGACGACCAGTTTGCTTAGCGACACTATGACATGAAGGAGGGGCCCGATCACGAAAACAATGAAGGCGGCATCAAGGCCAGGGTCACACCATGCAATACGATTGTTGCTCGAACGAACTCTAAAGAAATATAAATCATTAAGTTCAGAAAGCTCACCAATTGGGGCTCGTCTACTAGAATCATGCCATTGTGAGATTTCCCAAGCTCCTCCGTCTCAGGAATGACGTCAAGCGTGAGGACCCTGCTTGACTTTCGTCGTGCAATCAGACGCACAGTTTGCGTTATAAAAACTGGAACGTTCATGTGGCGTCCCACCATAGAAACCTCCATCGTCGGAGGCAGAAGCGAAGCGGAGAAGTCTTGCCTGCTTTTATTGAAAAAGCATCCCGAATTGCCAGCCACGCAACGGCACTCCATGGCCCAAGCTTGGTCATCTTTCTTGGAGAAGCACTCTTTGCTGCCATGAATCAACTCTAGGCAATTCTCAACGTGCTCCAACGTTCCACTGACGATAACCTCTTCCTTATTGACGACTTCGTAACAGATTGTGCCACAAATGCGAAGATTGTCGGTGCTGACATACGTTGCTTCCGCCGTTTCAGAGTCTACTCTATCCCTCCTCAGTACCACGCAAGATTCTTCTGTCGGAGATATCCAACCACCGTTCACCTCTAAAGTCACTCCTATAGTTCTCGGAGGAAATCGTATCGTCAAAGAATCAGGATCTTCCTCCGGAGAGCAACCCGTTATTCTCACATAAATTACTCTAACGTCAAACCATGCCTGTGACAAACCCGTGGGTGATGAGAAACCATAGCTTCCTGGGGACGACATAGCAGGAGAAGCACAGACGGGACCGCCAGCTATGACATCGTAGTCTTCCATTTCTCCCCACTCAGTGTCGATAGAAAACTTGGAAAAGCTCAATGGGGTAATAGGAGACGAACATTGAGGCTCTTTCTCTTCAAACTTGCTCAGCACAGGTCTTGGTCGAGTGATATCGCTGCTGTCTCCAGCCATTCCAATTCACATGAGCCGAAAGGCTCTTAATAATAATGACCAATTCTGTTTCGGTGACGAGCTAAGAGCAATTGTGTAGCTAGCACAATCCTTCCGTCAATCAAAGGCCTCCCTTGTCATCAATTCGCCTCAAAGTTCTCGAAAACAAAAGATGCAGATTCTTCCTTGAACCTTCGGCAGTTAAACTTGTGATACCAGATGCAGTGGACTCTTTTGAAACCCTTTCGAAACTCTTTACATTCACTTAAAAACTATCTCGCACTCGGACCTATAAAGGACTATCCACAACAGAACTGTTTGTTACCGAGTCTGAAAACAGAAAGGACCGACACCCTCCAAAAGAAACAGATCTCTCTTGCCACTCCAAAACTGTCGCCCAATCTGCATTTCACTGCCAAAACCTCCCACAGTGCTTCCGAACATTTAAAAAAAAATGCTACACTGGCCACAAAACACCGAGAGCCACATCTCAAGTACCGGTCTCCGAAACCGTAGTCGCTCCAGCCAAACACACACACACACACCCACACACAGTCCGAAATGGAGCACACAAGACACTACTATCCCACACCAACGTCACACGGAGTACAACCCGAACCAAGCAAGTCGCCGCGATTTCCACTAGGTCCTACTATTCAGAAACGGTTTCCACGCTTGGAAGGCCACCACAATGTTATAAATGCACCGTGCGCCAAATTTCCAAGACTCTAAACAGCAATGGACGCGAAATAAGCTGGACCGGTCCAACTTCCAACACAGGCAAGCACCATCCAAGTCAGACACAGTATCAGATCACATCCAGTTCAACAAACACTTCAACTCCCGCACGTCCTGTTACTCTCCCCCATCTCCTCCACCTCCTACGACGTGAAAGGTCTCAAGTATTTACCAGTCACCAGGGGGTCCATCTCGCTAGGCCCACACCCTTCAAGAGCAGTTTCTCATTCATTCCCCCCTATATTTTTCCAGAGGCAGACTCTAAGGAGGTGTGCACAAGCGACGATTCCTCGAAGTGACCCTAAAAAAGGACGTTCTAAAATAAAACAAAACAACACAAAAAATGAGAAAGAGAGGGGGAGGGGGAAAATGTGGCGGACGAGCATCGTGAGGGGGAGAACAAGTCATTTCCGAGACTGAGAGTTCGGGTGGTAAGAGCGGTTGTGGGGGCATTGCGAGGGCGATGGCGAAGAAGGAGGGCGTGGCATGTCCGACTGCAGTTGCCCACCATACCATGCCCACGGGCATCCAGCGTTCGAAACTTCGAATCTGCTGCCTCCCCCTCGCAAATCCTAATCAATGCGGGTTGGTGCCTCCCCGACGGCCACGAGGAAGACGACGGTACAAGACAGAGAAACAGAGGCCTGGATCAAACCCTACTCCACTACTACTGTAGCCATATTAAAAAATCTAACTCTTCTCGCCATTTTAGATCCCCTTCTCTTTTGCGCCACCAATGATGCCCTTGGCTTTGCGATCCCACTAGATAATTAATCTCCCCACTCCCTTAATTTCTGTGACAGTGGGCTCACACAAGCGCACCATTCTTTCTATAACTGTCCTTCATCGTCGTTTATGTGACTGGGGCTTGATTGTCTCCCTCCCCCCGAATGCTCACCGTTTTCTTCATCCCTAAAAAAATTATTTGGATGAATGTTTGTATAATATTCGCGTGTGTGATGAATGAATATATCATTCGTAGATCTGTGGAAATCGAACGAGACGTTGCGATGATCGAGATTTTCCTCCCTACTTTTTCTTCTACTTTTTCTTCTACTTTTTCGCTTCTGTACTGGGTACTTTTTGAATGGTATGTTGTTGTTTCACAAGTTGAGGGATGTTGGGAGAGAGTAATTTTGGATATGTGTATCTGTGTGTTTGTATTTCAAGGGGGGGGGGGTGGTGGTGTGAGAGGTCCTTCAAAAACTTCTTCTTGTGGTAGTCCAAAAGAAACCTCAACTACCAAATAATGGCAACAAATATTGAAAGGGTTGCAACTTTTACCAATGAAGTTAATGAAATTGATACCAGGACATCTGTGTTATCTCAAATTCTAATGTTAAATGTTTAGATAGTTCATGTTGACATTGTGTTAAAGTACATCTTTTTACTTTCTTGGAAAACCAATTATATCAATTTCAAATTCATTTTTTGTATTAAAGGTTTTTTAAGTAGTGTTAAATAGCAAAGTTGACAATGAAGAAATTCTCACCCTCAAAAGTAATTGGCATCCATCAATGTAATGGCCATGTTATAATCATAAATATTTGATGTGTATGTTTGTAGTCTGCTGTACAAGGGTCGGATTTGCTCCAATACATGTCTACATTTGAAGGTTGAACAATATACAACATTCTATGATAGATTTAAATTCAACACTACTAATATTTCCACATAGAGTTGTTTGTTTGCATGTGTGGGCTCTTGTAACTCAAGTAAAAACCTCCTAAAAAACAGAGCACATTGCAGAGAGTCCCATAACAAACTGCAAAAAAATTACAAATAGTTTGTCAAAAAAGATGTTTTGATAACTACAACCTTCTCGTGTTTCATTCATTAGCCAAGTTTCTTTGTCATATTCAGTGTATTTGGGTGTTTGAAAGTTCACTGACATGTTTCACAACATTGAATTATAATTGGTTACAAACATGTTGTGAATACTTTCTTCTAAACTGCACTTTATGTCTACATTTGAAGACATCTCATATTCTGAAATAGTTAGAATAGTTATAACTTAAAATATAAACTTAAATTCAGCATCCAGTGTTTGTTGTTCAATGTAACTGTACCTCATTTACATATCATTGTTGTTGGTGTTTTTCTTCTTATTGTTATTATTATTATTACATTTTCATTCTTCATTTTGAAAACCACATGTTTTCTAAAAGAAATGGTCATCCTTCACAGCACAGAATGAGAATAAATAAATTTCAACTGTCAACCAAAATGCAATGAAGATATGCATCTTTGATCTGGACTCCAATTGGTAAAATGTCCATATAATCCACATGAAACTAGAAATTTCATTTGTAATTTTCAGTGCTTGTGAGGTATGTAATGACTGGGAGCACTTTTGCAAATTTGTGTGATAAAGATCCCATGCCACCCTCTGTTCACAACAAAACAAAATTAGATATTACAGTTCCAACAGACCACCACGTGTTGTTTGGGGAATGGACCCCTGTTTGTTGAACCTTTAGAATGTATGTGTGTGATTGCATGTTGTTCATAATTTCTCAATGTGGGCCATTCAATTGAATGGGATGGGCCTGGACTCCATTAGGCTTGTCTCATTTCCAGAAGGGGCTTTTGGGGTATATGTGGTGCAGGGCATGTGGAATATATATATAGATATATATTTTTTCCTTTGAGCAAAAATGACTGTGATTGGGAGCATTCAGGAATGAGTCCAAATGATGACTCCCCTCTGGAAAAAGAAGCACCAGATAAAAGAAGAAGGCAAAAGCAAAGGAAATAATAGTAATAATAATAATAATAATATTCATAATATAAAAGGAAAAGTGGGACCACACAGGTGGTGCTGCTTGAATGCACCTTATGGAGGCCCATGGTCAACCCTACAAGAATAGGGTTCTTATGAATCTTTTTCTTCTTCTTTTGCTTTGTCTCCTGCTGGAGATATATGTATAGATAAATAAATTACAAAGGATAAGGAATGATTGAGGAACCCAAACGCCCACCATTATTTGAGTGAAGCCAAGTTGGTACAAGGAAGCTGCCATTCCATTGGTATCCATTGCAGACACCACCCACCTCCACAAAAATGTTCCTGGTTGGGAATAGAGACCTGTAAATAAATAAATAAATCATGATCAATCTGGCCCCATTCAAGGATTAGGTTTTGGTATTAGATTTTATTTTTGTGCATTGCTATAATTCAAAAACAAGTAGAGCCATGTTGTGATTTTACCAAAGACCATGCTTCCTTCTTCTTATTCCTTGTCTTTCACCTGTTTTTCATGGTTGTAAGATGGAGCTTCAAGTTGCACAACTCTAGATGAAATGCAGTCTGATGCTATACATCAAATAGAGTTCTCCACATTCTTGTTTTAGGAACTGAGATATAAATCACTATATAACTAAATTTTAATTGAATATTCTTTTATAATGTGAACCTCAGGTACCAACTCTCTTAAGCTCACCCCACGAAATATTCATCTAAATATATATATATATATATATATATATATTTTTTTTTCTGTATTAAAGTGTAGCAAAGGGCAGCATCATCTAATTTCCGATTATTTCAATTTTTTTATTTTTTTTTATTTTGCACCCTGCCCAGTTTTGAGCCTAGGAAGCTCCGCCCCATCCACCCACGCACCGAGACAGACAGCGCCAGTTGGTTTCAAAGGTGAGAACGGGCCTCAGAAACTCCGCCCCAAGGGCCCCTCTCTCCTTCTGAGCTGGATCCACTGAGCTGTAGAAGACGCCTCTCGACGGGGGCTGCGTGACAAGTGGCGGGCATGCTGTTTTAATATATTTGTTGGGCCTTGTACAGTATGCCTCAAAAGAGAGAAGGGGCGGCAAGTTGGAGTTGAAAATCCTAGTCTCCCTTTATGCCACGTCACTACGCTCTTTCTCTCTAAAATATTTGTAGCTTATATGCTCATTTGATTCAACAAAGTCGGGTACATTTGTTTTACTTTTGGTGTGCATTACTTATTTTCATCAGTCCGTGAATAGTGATAGAGCCAAACGGTGACAACTTCCAAGAAGTATTCTCTACTCTAAGCATTGAGGAGGATAGATTTTTGAAAATAGGATTTATCTAAATAAAAAAGTTGGATAAGTTTGGAATTGTTAGGATGCTTATTTGATTTAGTAGCCTATTGCTCAAGAATAATGAATACAATGTAAAAATCATGGATTGATTAAAAATAAATAAACATGACATATTGAGGTGTCACTTCTTAGGTTTGAATTAATGATTGTAGAGGCGATATTACCGTATTGTATAACACTTCTAATGTGGATCTACAAGTAGAAACACATAATTATTCCTAATGGGAAGAATATTGCTTCTATGTTTAAGTAGCAACATGCAAATGAAAACAAAGAATATCTTGCATCTTAAATTAAATCTTTGGAAATAATAATTTATTAAAAAATAAATAATTACAAGTTGAATATGACTATTTATTTCCAGAGTCCAAAGGTGATAAAGATAGCACAAGTAAAGTTGTAATATTTCAATACAATGGAACTTTTATTAAACAAATTACAATTGG